AGGCAGAAGGGAACTCAGGGTCCAGCGCTGTCTAAGCCTGCACGAGCGGTAAGGATGGTCCGTACCGAGGACGTCTGCAGCGAGTCAGGATCGTACACCTGCGGATCGGATTTGGAAGATCGATTGAGATCGATCCATGTGGCTGCTACTGCGGATCGCCGTTCATCCCCCAATGACGTTGCAGCTAACGCGAGATCGGTCGACCCGAACACTCGTCAAGACTATCAAGATCGCAATATGCCATTGAAGCCGTGTACTCATTGCGGATAGACCAAGCATGGAGATCTCGGTTGCTGGAAGCGGCTCACTTGCCAGAAGTGTGGGCGCAAAGGACACCCCTCTGACAATTGTTTTTTCGTGTGTCGTGCTTGCGGTGAGATGCACGACCCGGGGAAGTGTCCCATGGAGGAGTTCTACAACATGATCCGTCAGTGGTACGTCCCGAATAAGCATGCGGGGATGCTACCAGAGAAGGCCGAGAAGATGTTAAACTAGGACGCTCGCCAGGTTTGAATCTGGTACGGGCCGAGCGTTCTGGGCTCTGCATTATTGCATACGTGAAAAAAAAGAAGACAGATCGCGAGAGTAAGCAGGATATTGACGTGGAAACAAATATATCTCGTTCGAAGTTAAAACGTGTCGCTTCCGTGTCCCATCTGAAGCGGATCGATGAGTACTCACGATCTGAACCAGCTATGGAGATCGAGCTCGCTTATGGTGAATCTCGCGGATATTGGAAACATTATTCACCCGGGAAGTGGTTCAAACAAGCGAAAGCCGTTGGCAAGATCAACAACGTAAAAGCTACTCTGTTATTTGATTCTGGTGCTGAAGTGTCGATCATTGACACCACCTTTGCTCGTGAGGTCGGTTGCAATATTGACGAAAGTCAACGACAAGAATGTATCGGGATTGGAGAAACTCCGTACATGACGGTAGGACGTACCAAGATCAAGGTGACCCTCGCGGGATCGCTGGTATACTATTTCAATGTATGGGTAGGCGATCTGGCAGGGCAAGAAGCGATTCTGGGTATGGATTTTATGGTGCCTGCTGGAGTGCGGCTCGATCTAGCGGATGGCGCGCTATGTCTACCAGAAGAAATCCGCATTCATCTCGCAGGACGTCGCCCCGCGTACGGATCGAAGATACAACATATAACGGCGAAGGACCAACACGTGGTGATCCCGGTCGGAGAGTCAAGGGAAGTGAAGATCGGGATCGGAGGGGCTAAGATGAAGTTGTGGGTCGCTAGAGGACTAGATTGGGTCCCCACTGTGATCTCGGGGTGGGGTAAGACGAAATACCTGCAGATGACCAACATTGGCGACCGTGAGATCATACTGCCCACCCACACTATATTAGGCATGTGGGTCGAAGGCGATATGGTACCGCGAACTCAAGGTTTGGTGACAGTCGGGTCGGGGAAGTACAAGGAATGGCAAACTCTGGCATATGAGGCTACGACGGATCGAGTGAACGAACTCCCGAAAGAACCGATCGGACCATTGGTAGACCGTCCTACGTATGCCGCTCCCAAACGCATCTTGAAACGTCCGTCTGATGCGTTACAGAACCTGTCTCCGGCGATCTCCACGGTAACGCCGCAAGCTAACGATGACGATTCGCAAAAGGCAGATGCTGTAGTTGCGAGGGAATTAACGGTCAGGGGAGCCGAACTATCGCGGATGGAGAACGGTCATGAGATCGGTACCCAACATGCAACGAAGGGAGACCGCGACACCGGTCAAGAAGGGCTACGTGACAGATCGTCTCTACCGAAGGCTGAGCCGACTGACCGACTGTTGAAATTGGGCCAGCCGGAAGAGACGAAGGAGCCTAAAGAAGAAATAATGCTAAATACTGAAGACGTCGAGATTGCAGAAATACCAGTTTATCACCACGAGAGCGGAGATTTGTTTGCGGAAGATATCGAGCAGCATATGGCCGTGCTACCAGAGATGTCGGCGACTACGGAAGAAGTTACGATTGAGGACATTCAGATCGGTGATCCCGATGTGCCTCTCACCACAGATCAACAACGGCTCAGATCGCTGATCTGGAAGAGCCGTCACCTCCTCATGGGTAAAGGTAATGCTCTACCACCAGCAGCACGAGGCGCGATCTGTGATATTGATGTCGGTGGGGCAGCACCGATAGCGCAAAGAGCGCGTCCGGTCGCACCCAAATATCGGGAGAAGCTGTCAGATCTCATCAAAGGACTATTAGCAGCCAAAATCGTTCAGCCATCCACGTCACCTTGGGCGTCTCCGATAGTGGTGATCATCAAGAAGAACGGAGTGGATATTCGCCTTTGCATTGATTATCGAAGAGTGAACCAGCTGACGCGTCTGATGGTTTATCCCATGCCGTTGATCAGCGATCTGTTGGAAGATCTGGATAAAGCTCTATGGTACTGTTCGCTAGACATGGCTAGTGGATTTTGGGTCGTCGAAATGACTGAACGAGCAAAACTGATCTCAGCGTTTGTCACACCGTTTGGCTTGTTCGAGTGGCTGCGAATGCCTTTTGGGCTTAAGAACGCGCCCCAGATCTACCAACGTCTGGTGGACAATGCGTTGTATGGATATCTCAAGATCGGTCAGAGATCAGCCTCTGATGGCCCGATCGACGTGTTCAAAGATGGAGAGCCTGAGACAGATCGACGACCGTCTATACTGGGACGCCGATCTTACATTGACGATATTCTCATACCAGCCACGTCATGGGGATCTTTGTACACAAAAGTAGAACGGTTGCTGGAGGCATGTGATAAGTGGAATCTGTCTATCAGCCTCACGAAGAGCTTTTGGGGGTGCCGTAAGGTCGATTATTTGGGACATCGAGTGTCGATGGATGGTCTGGAGGCTCAGCCCAAGAACCTAGAGTCGTTGGTTAACATCCCGTTTCCTAGCACGCTACGAGCTATGCAATCTTTTCTCGGGAGCTTGAACTACTACCGTCGCTTCATTGAAGATTTCGCGGTGTATGCCGCGGTGTTGTATGAGTTAAGAGAATCGGATTTCTTCGAGATCGGCCAATCTCAGCTTGCAGCAGGAGACGAATGCTCCAACAAGGGTCGATGGACGGAAGCCAAGGTTGCTTTCACTATGCTAAAAGCTAAGATAGCTACAGCTCCCATGCTCAAGCATTTCGACCCAGATCGGTCCCCCGTAATCGTGGTCTACGCTAGCAAGTGGGCTGTCTCAGCGGCCCTGATACAGGAGTACGATGGCGTTTATCATCCGGTTACGTTTACTAGCCGCACTTTAAAGCCTAATGAGCTTAACTACGGAACGGTAGAAAAAGAAGTGCTGGCGCTACTTCGTGTGTTGGATGTATGCTATACTACGCTTGCCTCGCGGGAGATCACTGTACTGACCCGACATTCTACGTTAGCCTGGTTGATGCAGTCTCGAGGTCTCAACGGAAGATTAGGACGGTGGGCTGCTTTGTTGTCAAATTGGACTATGGAGGTGAAGAAATGTGAAAGAGGAGAGGAAGAGATCCTGGGCATGTTAGCAGCGAGTATCACTCCGAGAGGAGAAGTGGAAGAGATGCTGATTGCGATTTCCCCACGAAAAGACTGTCGACTCAAAATATCGATGCCTCTTCCAACGTTGGAAACAGATGAGGAGTTGCTGGTGGCCAGTTTCGATGGATCGGCTAGGATAAAAAAGAAAGGAGGGTCGTTCAGTGCCGTAATATGGAAGTTACCCGAATGGACGATCGTGGCGGCCGAATCGAGATATGTTCACGATCTGACTGTGAATGAAGCTGAGTATAATGGCTTGCTACTGTGCTTTGAGTTACTCGCCGATCTGGATAGGGGGCGAGTAATACTGTGTGGAGATTCCAGTCTGGTGATTCGACAGATGCGCGGTGAGATCGACTGCAAGGCACCGGGCCTTCAGCTTCTGAGACACAAAGCGTTGGAGAAGCTGCGGTCATGGCCTAGTCACGAGTTCCTGCATGTGAAGCGAGAGTGATATCAGAGCGCAGATCGACTAGCCAGCACAGCATTGCAGAGCGAAAAGGGAAGAACGGTTGTAGCTGAAGAGGATCGGCAAGATCTGATGACTCTGAACCGTCTCGATGAATTGTTGAAGCCCAAGCAAGATGGTCAGCTGGCTCGGGTAACTGCGATCACGAGATCAGCCAGGAGGATACGTCATGAACCTGAAGTGATACAGGAGGAGATAGTACAGAGGATCAGGATTCATCGAATTGTCCAAGCTCAAGATGAAGAGCGTTGGATTGTCAATCTCAAGACATATCTAAGTGGCGATGTATCAAACTTGGATGCGGTAGAAGTGAAGATGTGCGCCAAACTGGCGCCGGAATACGAGATCGATGAGAACAATCTGCTATTTTTTTGCCCCATGGCGAAAAGAGAGTCAGAAGATCGCGATGGTTTGATGCGGTTGGTGATCTCTGAGACGTTGCGGCAGGATTTTTTGCATCACTATCACACGAGTCTGGAAGGAGGCCATCAGGGTATTGGCCGAACCTATCAGAGGATCAGATCGCGATTTCATTGGAGAGGACTGTATCGGAGCGTTCAACGATTTGTGGGCGAATGTACCGACTGTGGGACCGGGAAAGGAAACCCGATGATTCATGGGAAATCCCCGGGCAATCTACACGCAACATATCCATTCCAGATCATCGCCATGGATCATATACCGTCGTTGCCCAAGTCCATCAAGGGGAACACCGAACTGCTCATTTGGGTCGACCTTTTCTCGGGATATGTGATTGCAAAGGCTAGCTCCTCTCGGACGGCACAAACAATAGCGTAGAATTACGAAGAATGTGTGTTTCGACGCTTCGGAGCTAGCGAGGCTATCAGGCACGATCGAGAACCGGGATTTATGTCCGACTTCTTTCGAGCCTTCAGTCGGATCGTAGGACAAAAACAGCGTGCTACTATGGCTTACAGGCCACAAGCAAATGGAACAGCCGAACGAATGGTGCAAACCCTGACACATTCGCTCAAGATGTACGTGGCTGAAGTTGACCAGCGAGACTGGGATGAGTATGCTGAGCGGCTCACCTTTGCCATTAACACTGCACAAGATCGGATCCGGGGGGATACCCCATTTTATCTGATTCATGGGTGGGACCCGCGATCGACTTTGGAGGCTACGCTACCAGTGGGGAATACGGGGACACGAGATCGCGATCCAAAGAGGTGGAGATACAAAATCCAAAGACAATACCAGCGAGCCCGATCTGCAGTGAACGATCGTTTACAAGCCGCGATCCAGGAGCGAGCAGATCGACACAACGAAGATCTGGAACCACACGAGATCGAAGTAGGAGCGCAAGTTTGGCTATACCTGGACCGAGTTAAAGAGGGATATGCGAAGAATCTAGCGCACATGTGGCATGGGCCATTCCGAGTTGCGGACGTATGTGGAGATCATGCTGAAAAATTGGAGATCGCTGGAACCCCATATCGGTTATTTCCGATTGTATATATATCGAAGCTAAAAAGGTAAAGACGTTCCCTGAACGCCCGAAGGATCAGCTTACGATAGAGGAATCAGATCGCTTGGATTTCGATGAAGCTCTGCTGCCAGAAGGCAGTTGGGATGACGATCTTGAAGAAGGGGAATACGAAGTAGAGGCAATATTGGACGTGCGATCTGGTAGAAAAACCCGTTATGGGCGAGTACACCGGCAGTTTCTGGTGAAGTGGAAGGGATATCCCGATCTAAGTTGGGTGGACGAGGCCGATCTAAGTTGTGGGGCGATCTTGCAAGAGTTTGAGCGGAACCGAGTGAGTCGAAACCGTTTCGACGTAATGCAGTCTCATGAAGGCAAGTCGGACGAACCTTAACAGTTCGAACAAGTATGCGGGAGGTAGCATATGCGGATGTAGGGGTTGAAAGATGTGCTAGACGGTAGCACATGCTGGTGGATGAGGTTTTTGTATGTGAGTATGGAGATAGTCAAGTGAATTATGGAGATAGTCAGGTGAATTACCTTCCTGAATGATGTGGAGAGATGAGGATCGAGATCGTCGAAGCTGCAAAGAATTGAAGTACCAAAAAGAAGATGATTGAATGACTTACACGATTATGAAAGACGATCGGGCTTGGATATCGACCTTGGACTAAGACGATGGAGCAGGTTTGAACTTGTCCTGCAGACGAGGGATCTGCGATCCGGGATGATCTAGATGGCGCGGAGACCCAGGCCGATCGGGGACCGCTGGGGTGTGTCCTCCGAGATCGGGCGATCCGGGCGACAGGTCGCGATCCGGAGACAGAAACATGGTGGATCCTGCTGAAGAGATCGGCGAGGTGGGTGGATGCGTCGGAGAGACCATGAGACGGACTTGAGTGCTTGGAACGAAGTTGATGAGTGACTGTACTGAGGTTAATTGCTGTACAAAAGACTTCAGTACAGGGGGCGGTTGTGGCAAAGTCACTACTCAAATTTTGTACGAGGATCGGTGGCCACATCTTTATAGCGCCGCTTACTGGTGGAAAAGGAGGCCATGAGACTCGGCGATCCAATACGGAGGTGGAAGATGATCTTAACGGGATCGGCGAACCGATCCAACTGTCGTTAGACTAATGGGTATGGATCGACCTGGGACGGAGCGATCTGGAACGATTTACATGGAACAATCTGGGACAAGGATCTGGGACCGGGTGATGGGATATGACTCTGCGACGAAGGTGTAACTGTGGTAAAGTCACTAATCAAATGATGGGACGTGGATCGGTGTCCACCCAGTTAAGATGTCACCCACTGGCGGAAGAGGTACGCCTAGGACCAGGCGATGCAACGTGATTTGAGACGGGGCGTAGCAAGGGGTGATTCCAACAATTCGATCTGGGACGAGGGACTGGATTGAACCGAACGACCACTCTAAAGGCTGATCAAAGGAAAGGATGTGGATGTTGAAGCAGAATCATTTGAGAAAAGTACGCCTGGGACCAGGCGATGCGACGTGGTTTGAGACAGGGCGTAGCAAGGGGTGATTCCAACAATTCGATCTGGGACGAGGGACTGGATTGAACCGAACGACCACTCTAAAGGCTGATCAAAGGAAAGGATGTGGATGTTGAAGCAGAATCATTTGAGAAAAGTACGCCTGGGACCAGGCGATGCGACGTGGTTTGAGACGGGGCGTAGCAAGGGGTGATTCCAACGGTGCGATCTGGGACGAGGGACTGGATTGAACCGAACGACCACTCTAAAGGCTGATCAAAGGAAAGGATGTGGATGTTGAAGCAGAATCATTTGAGAAAAGTACGCCTGGGACCAGGCGATGCGACGTGGTTTGAGACGGGGCGTAGCAAGGGGTGATTTCCACGGTGCGATCTGGGATGAGGGACTGGATTGGACCGAACGACCACTCTGAAGGCTGATCAGAGGCAAGGATGTGGATGTTGAAGCAAAATCATTTTGATAAAGCATCGGAGTGCACACAATGAACGGAAGAACATATATGGCCGGATTGTACTGTGTCGATCCTCAACAATCTCGAATTGGGCATCAGATCGGTCATGATCCCCACTGATTATGGATGTATCGTTGATGAGAATTTTGGATCATGACAAACATGCTTGTTGAAGGTCCATGAGTGATGTCTCAAAAGTTCAGATCGAAAGAGCCAGTGGAAGCCGGTTAAATTGACGTCGCAAAATGGATTTAGACGCCTTCGGCATTTGGGCACTATTTTGGGCTTTTGGGTACCAAAAATGGGTATTTGGTACCCCATTTGGGATTTGGTCCTCTTTTGGCGTTCAGGTACGGTATCGGGAATATTGGCGCTATCATTGGAGTACAGGGCACGAAATTTCGACACGTGGCAAGGAGGCGATCCAGATTCAAGGCGATATCGGTTTGAAGAGTGACCTATAGTTAAGAATAGGCTTAAGGGTAGGTTGGATAGTAATTTGGTTGGTTAATAAACAGACTTGAACTCTACTTCTTCTGCTCACGACGCACGTTATCCTCTCCTCTTCTCCAGGCAAGATTGATTTGGCTTCCCCGGCGGGTTAAGGCACGCGTGTTACAGGGACACAGAAGACCGATCTTGGATTGTTGGCCAAGATCGAGAAGAGCGATCCCGGGATATCTGGCCCGGATCGATCAAGTACTCACACTCAACTCAACTGCTAGGGTAGCAGCACACAACGGAACAGGAAAAGGATTTTGGACACAGGATCGCGAGACGGCTCAAGTGGTCAGAAGATCTGGACAAGGCGTTCAAGACAAGACCGAGCAGGATCGAAGCGATCCCCTGGACAGATCGGCACGTTTCATTTTGGCGAAACAAGACACCGATCTACCCAAATTGCGCACTTCCGGCAAGATCGGCCGATCCCAAGACCAGATCGGACCGATCCCAAGGCAAGATCGACGCAGGACTTTTATTTGCTGAGTGAAGATTTCCGCACAGCAAAGACCCCGATCTCGAAGACAAATCAAGATCGGTGCGATCCAAGATCGGGATCGCAGAACCCCCGTTCGTGGTGTGAAGATTTCCGCACCGGAAGCGAACCCTCAACCCAACCTCTCAGCGAGATCTACATCTCCCAAGGCCGTTACGAAGAGCTCAAGCCAGCCCAACCGACGGGTACACAAGGTGAGCACAAGGTCATACAACAAGGCACGGATCGGAGTACCCCCTCCGTGAGTCGGCAAGTCTGGGCAAGTGGAAGATCGACACTCATACAAGCAATTTTGTGAAATCGACTTCACCACAGCACTATGTGCTGGTTCCGACAGCGTGGCCTAATACCAAAGCCCTTCGTCATATCTGGCGTTAGATATCTTTCTCGGAGATAATTTTGCTCGGCGATGTCTTTAGACTTAGTATCCTCGCGCCCTGTGGGTTAAGTGGTCAAGAGATGCCCAGTGAGCTTTTGCAACAACTCATCAACACCTAAAGGCTTAGAGCGATAATCTAAATATGCCTCGTTAATCGCTTATGTCAACGATAAACGTCTAGCGTTATCATTCTCATCTACAACGTGATTTTGTTGCCCATCGAGATTGTTGGTGATGATTAGTTGATCCAAAGTAGTTGATGCACGCACCGCTGCTAGAGCCTAAGTTGTGATTTGTTCAGGAAATGATTTCAGCACTGTGCGCGAGGGTTTGTGCTACGCTGATGTTCCAGACTCTGTATTTCACCCTCTGCTGCAACAGTGTCGCTTTTGTACTCGACAATGTTCCCTTCTCGCGGACGTCTTACATATACTCTGAAGAGTGCTAAAAATTGCCGTTAGTTAGCAAGGTGTTGTGAATACAAATATTTAACAATCTGTTCTCTTCGAGCTTTTAAAAGAGTAAGGTAAAGGATGCGATTCGGGAAACCGATTGTTTGGTGGCTTGTATAACAAGGTTACACAAACGGTTGTGATAATCAGATACGCTGGTATAGTATACACATAAGGAGATCAGTGAAACTGCTAGGCGTTTTCTATGGTATAACACACTCTAAGCAGTAAAATTATATCGTATCGCTAACGAACGTATATTATCCATCATTATTTGGGTTTTCAAAGTACGACATAGTTCTGGTATATACAAATGAAGAACCTCAACAATAATCTTTGATTACATAGCAATATATTAAGATTTAAAAAAAGCTGTATTTACTATCACCATAAATCCAATCATGAAATCAGTTCAAATTCTGATCAGTTCCAGACAGGCGTCTCTTTAATATGTCTTTGACCGTAAATGTTAAGATTTTGTATTAAGGCTAGAACTTTCGGGCATTTTTTCTACGTGATTCCTTGACGTCATAAGTCTTTTTAACCAGAGTATAAGCTTACGAGCCTGAACAAATACTTAGAATTAGGTCCCACTTTGTCTGTTAAGACGTGATACCTGTACGTCAAAACCCGTTCAGCATAATACACTAAGAGACATCACAAGTATGAAAGTCCTCCTATTACAAAGGGGTAAGGGAAGCTTCACTAAATGTCTACTTTGAATAAACGTAGCATTTCACTGTAGGCGCAACTGCAAGAAAAAGCGACGATTCTGGTGTGCCTAAAGCCACTTACTTGAAAATGATAGTAGCTGGTCGCCTGGGATGCCGTTCGATATGACAACTTAATCGGTTTCGCCTCCAATGGATCACCTCTCAGCAATTTTCGCTATTGTAGACACTGATCCACTCACTTTGCAAGGGCCCTGTCGACTTCAGGGAACGCGAGCAATACCGTGCTTGCATCTAATATTGATTTGCGTCACGTGCAGAAACTTCTGGTGATCACACAGAATTTTGGATATTTTATCTTGGACTGGCACTTATCTAAGCTACCGAAATAGCTCTTCGCCTTATCCACCAGCTTTAAGAGTTTGAGAGAGACGTTGGTGTCATGTCATTGGTAATCTTATTCTTTTGATCATATTTCGATCGCCAAGCTGCTATGTTCGCGACAGCATTATTGTTGCGCGGCAAAGACAAGTGACGAAGCGCTATAATTAGACTTGTGCTGGAATAATCTTGTAAATCCAAATTCGGGCCCCTGTGCTGTTTTCAAAGACCGCCAAAGACTGAAGGGCATAACATGTTTAAAAATTTATTCACTTGTTATTGCGAGACCGAAGGGTGAATTTATTAGTGACTGTGCGCCAGCTTAATGCCGAACTTTTCAAATTGTACTTATTAGTGCGTCTGTAAATAACGCGGTTAGGTGTACCATATACGTACCAAGTGCACTCTAACCTGTACCCTTAATGGAAATATAGGCATATCCAAGGTCATTCTTTGTCTAGGTCACTTTTGCGACACATAAACGTAATTGGCTAAAATCGATCGATCGTGAATAGTATTACATAAGCAAATGCTGGACGCTTATAAGAAAAGTCTGATCGCGTTGCGTGAGCATACTACTGGATTAATTTTTAGATTCACAGCATCGTAATTCTTTTTTAGTGACTGCTGCTGTTACGTAGTATGTTGCATCTTGTACCAGTACTTCGAACGAATCACGTACATCAAAGATCTAGCTCCAGAGATTGCTTCCCTATGTTATGTAAAACAGTTTCGCTCCATTATATGTATCAAATTCGGCAGGTTTCTCTGTATTTCGTATCTTCTCATGAGGAGGGAGCATGCCACAGACAGCTCTCCCTGTAACAGCCACTGTAATAATAGCAATTCCGAATAGCAGCCCCCGAAATGAGCTTATGAGTGCCCGCCAGCCAAAATCCGCTATCTCTAATAAAAACTTTTTAGCTATAACTTCACCAGCCATGCTTCAGGTACACAATATATACATTGCTGCCCCCTCCATAACAGCTGCCCGGTCCGTTCTGGTCCAAAATTACATCAGAAATGGTGATCTGAGTTGTACGGAAATTATTGAAAATTTGCTGGATTTTTTTGGGCCTTTCATTAAATCTGATAAGTTCGAATTACTTGTTCAATGACTTGGGACACCCCAGAAAATCACTTGTTGTATGACTTGGGACACCCCAAAAAAAGATAAAAGGGGAGTACCGCCATGTTAATACTTTCACTTATCTCAAACGCCCAACACAAGAAAATAATAGGAAACCATTCAGTCAAGAAAAGACAGGTCATCTCGCTGGAGATTCAGATGGCCATCACATCCTTTCAAGCAAAAAATTATGCAGCTACTCATCGGACGATTGCGAAATAAGTTTGAGCTTAAGCGTAAGACAGTCACATGCGTCGCGTCTTCAACAAGATGAACGTCATCCCATAAAAAGCCAAAAACGTGGAGGCATGTGGTAATAATATGATAATAATACGTCCGCTGCTCGATGAGATTGGTGCACTTTTTGCTTTTTCTTTGTCGACTTCTAAATGATCACAGTTGTCTTTTTCATGATAAGGCGATGTAAATCTGGAATGTGCAAATGAGGTATGACGTTGTCGTGCTCACTGATGTAGTTCTTCAAGCGAAGGGTCTTCGATATGCATCCGTCCTCAGTGTCAACACTCCCTGCACAGAGAAAAACAATTTTACTTCCTCAGATGGTTGGCTTAAGCGCTTTAAAGACCAGTTCAACATTAAGTCGTACCGTTTACATGGAGGGGCAAAATGTGCCTCATTTAAGACCTTCCTGACTTTCGACTTGAGATTTAAAATCCCAACGACTTCTTCAGCAGTGATGAAAACGGTCTGTTCTATCGCATGGACCCAAACGATGCACTGGTGCAGCGTTTAGAAAAGGGATAGAAATAGGAAAAGTTTAGGATCGCTTCAATTCGAATGCAATGTGTCAGGTATGTACTTTCAGTGCCATATAAAAACTAGTGATTTTAGCACAACTTTTTCTTGTAGGCTCTGAGAAGCTCAAACCGCTAACCGTCGGAACTGCTGCCAAACCGCGTCGTTACTTCATCGTTGACATGGCAAAGCTGTCCCGTGTAATTTTTTTATCAAGAAAGCTTGGATGAATCACGACGCGTTTAAGCGTTAAATGCTTAATCTGACCGCCAGTATCAAAGACAGGGACGTAAAACTTGCTGCTACTGGACAACGCCAGTCCGCACTCGGTGGAGGATTATCAGGACCAGCAAATTAACATCACGGTTAGTGTTATAACTCGTTCTGCAACAGGACTTGAAATGCTTACTATGGGCTAATTCGTACACAGGTTCACCCCATCCCCCCGAACACCACGTTGCATCTGCAACTGGTCTTGCCAGCGTCATCACCAACTTTAAGCTGAAGTACGAAAAGCGCTACGTTAATTATATCCTGGAGAAGCTAAAGGTCATTGGTGTTTACCCTCTTAAGCCAAAAAGATCACATTAATCATCCACCAGGTAAATGATATGCTCTTCGGGTGTGGAACAACGTTCAACCTGCGTCCTTTTGCCATTGCTGAAAAATGTCGTCACTATTCCCGCTTGAGGTCGCATGTTAGACAACTCTCTACTTATAACTGAAGACGTTGTTTTAGTTATCCGCTTTCCAGCCTTTTTATCAAGATTCCCAAAGCACAATGCCGCCGCCACAACGGACGCTCAGATTACCTTCAAGTCGACGGTACTCTGCCCTTTATTAAACTCCTCACAGATAAAATTATCCTGGCTTACGTCTTTTCAGATCAGAAGGTGGCGGATAAGGATATTAAAGGGAATATGGACGAGAAACCGCCAGCATCGGTGCCCTGGGGAAAGATCTAGAAAGCTGTGGACGTTCTGCTGGAGAAAAGCCTAAGAAAGGCGCTCAAGTTGACCATGCTGATAAAATCGATAAGCTCCTCCGCCTTTTTAGCGCTTCATCATTCAATCAAGTGCCACGTTAGAGCAGAAGAACTTAGGGAGCTACTTTGTCAAAAAAAAACAAAGGCAAAAGAAGTGTATATAGGTAGACCCCACTTATCAAATGTCATCTCATATCTTACAGAAAAATGATTTGTAAAAAATTAATTCTATTGATGATTGGAGTTATGACGGGCCCTGTAGTTACCCGTCGTACGCGTTTAGCAGCCGCTCGCTATGGCAGTCTAAAATTGGGTATACGGTTGATGCTGTTATGAAGAGAGCTGACTGTTCTACATCGCACCAAGTACGACGTACAAAATAAACATTACATTATTGTTTACAGACAGTCGGACACACCAACATAAATTAAATTTTGAAAACATCTGATTTGCATTTCGCGCACACAGACACACAGACAGAAATGGTAATTATAAGTTCGGCTCTCACCTTGTACACAGTAGCTGATAGGTTGGGCTTGCAATGGTGAGGATAAAATTGAATAGCATATGAATCACGACATCAGAACGGAACACGCGGGATTAATTACATTCTCCGTCGTCAACTTCGAGCGGCCGTTATTGAAGAACGGTGGTATGGCAGAGATAAGTGAAAAAAAAGGGACTACTTCCACTTAGCAACCGATTTTTAATGATACTATCTCCTACTGGCAGACGACCAAGCACAGTCTCCATGGAAAAAATAACGCTACTGGAGTGATCGAGGGCTAATATTTTTAAAAATTTGAAATTCATAAGGTTTAGTAGACGTTCTGTTTTTTTGTCTTTCATAGATCAGTCGACCTGGATCGATTGATAACTTTTCTACGCGACTCGCTCCTTATCTCTGCTATCTTGTTATGCTATACAATTAATTTGTTTAATCCGCATACTCGGCAACTTATTTACCACCACTTTTTTATCACCGGGTGCGAACCTTAAGTTGTGGAGGCATAGTTGAAAAGGTTGCAAATTTATGACGTTAACATGTATAACGTAATTCATCACAAATCACGTCCAGATAGCGCATCTGAATGCGCTTGTCAAGATAGATAAGGTACGTTAAAACCTAATATCAATCAGCTGCTAATCAGACCATCATTGAGATACAAAAGTTATATTGATCAGCTAGCACATCGCGCCATTGTTAAGATATATCTGGTACGGGGCTATCACTGTATACGAGACAGCTCTCGAACGCACCATGTGATAGCCGGTAGGACACGATGCAGTGGATAATTACACAGCCCATCTCCACCCTAATGTTTCCGTTGTACATGATGCACCTTCGCTGCGAGCATTCGATATTTAAAATTGTAAATATGGATGTTTAAATTCAGCAAAAATAGCAGTAGCTAGTAGACATCTTCGGCGACTGGTATTTATATCTCTCGCTGCAGCCAAACATCGACGTAATGTAAGATTACTTGGAGGCGACACTTAATTGATCGTGCCGTCGGCAGGGAATTGTCAAGGAATTGTCAAGGAATTACATCTGTTGCATTTAAATGTGGCATATAACACCCCTAGGTTAAGTCGAGACAAGATTTCGTAGCTTATGTCGTGCGTGAAATATCTTTTCGTCTGTGAATGTTCATGTGCACGGAGATGAAGATACTGAAACCGGCATCATTAATTAGGTCGATTTGATCATGATCGTGAATCGAAAGACGCTATAATGACGACAAATGACCGCAAACTTGTCCCACTTGTCATGTGATGATGCAACTCAGACTGCGCATGACTGGTCGTTCACATCCTTTTGTACTTACTTGCGGTCACCAGACGTAGAGGACTTACATCCTTGGTCAAGCCGTGGACACCAGCCAAAAATAAACGATTTGGTTTTTATCAATGAACGTTTTGCTCTAGTATTGAATATGGCCTTATAACACGCTCAATGTCGAAGCCTTGCCACGAGACCGATAAATGTCGACCATGGGTATTAGAATTATGGTACTACCAGCCTGTGAGACACGACTGATAGAGTTAATAGTACGGACACTTTGATCGAATAGCGACGAAGCCGCGGGAATTAGCATTCTCCACGAGACAATGCAGGATGTTCGCTAATAGCGCCTCTTCTCACCATCGAGATGATATGTAGGCGCGTGAAATTACGCGCATGTCTCGTATTACATGTATTCGACGGAATGACTGCCGTTGACGACTGCCTCAGGTTTATACTCCGACGACGTTTTTGTGTCTTAATTCCTCAACCAGGCAATCGAGCTCACTACCTAATTCTTTAATAGATTAAGTGATCCAGTTTACCACCCATCTCTAATTACTTTACTGACCTCCCTCAGTGACCGACAACAAGAATGCTTCCGAAAAGGGCTCTGCTGGCCTCATCCCTTCTCTTCTGGCTGCACGCGCGTCACACGAGGGCCGAGATCACCACTGAGCTCGATAGCACCGACCCTGACACTTCCACCCTCTTATCTTCTGTGCGTACTTCTCTCTGTTTTGTCGTTCCACTTGCCCCTTTTAGCTAACCCTTTTATGTGGTTATTATACCATAGAGCGACCCCTCGAGTCAATCGATTCGAAGTAAAATTGATTATCCCAGTCGCAACCTGTTCTCAAGCACTCTGAACGCCTCGACAATCGCTCAAGTATTCAGCCGCCGGGACCCTGACTGGACTGCTATTGGCACCGCACTAGAAGAGGCGGTGGTGGCCACCGTCCAATGTGTGCAACGATGGACGGTATTTCTTGTGCTCGTGGCTGTGCCACTTATTCAAGCTTTGGCCGTGCTGATGGGAGTCGCTCTGCCTCATGTGCTCAACCTCGCTACGGTCGGAATTAACTACGTGAGCGAGATGGACCCTCTCCATCAGTCGCTCTTGGCCGCTGCGGTAATCTTTGCAGCGGTCTGTGTGCGTCAGGGCTATGTGCGCAAGGCCCGAATACAGTATCATACAACGAAAAGGAAACTGGAACTCCGCTACCGGATGTTTGTGGCAAGTTTGAGCGCCAAGTGGCGCGTGGTTGCCAAGCTGCTGCCTCACGTGCTCTTTTTTGCTCTGAGCTTCGAAGTGTTGTACTGGCTACCAGACTCAACGACGAATGTGCTGGGTAGTAGCGCGCTGTTCACGCTGCTCTCGGTTGGGTATCCGCTGCTGCATACGATCAGAGTCATTCGACACAAGAGGTTTAATCTGAAGCACGTCAAGTCGACTCCACCAGCATCAAAATCAGGTCGCACGCGTGAGCTTATCACGAAATTCGACCATGTTTGCGTTCCTGGCGGTGAATGGAGGGCATACGAGGCGTGCATGAAGTACTGGGTCATCTGGTCTTTCGCGGTCTGTCTCACAAGCATAGTGACCCTCTTCTTGCCGGCGTTTGTGACCTCATTTTGTACGGTGCCGCTCCAGTTTTGCAACGTTTTTCTACTTTGGATGCATTCTTCGTTCACTCGGGGGACTATTGCGCTCTATACTCTGCTGAGTCCCCTGATTAGTCCATACGCGAGTCGTCTTCATGAGCGTGAAGCCACAGTTGATGCGGAGGCAGACGAAAGGACGAACTTTGTGATTCACCTTCTCGTGTCATTTCGAGTTGTGCCAGAACGACACGTGCACTTGGCAAAGGACCTTTGGTCACAAGGTCCAGCGCTGTTTGGTCTCATTTTTCTGTTTACGCCGGGATTCGTGGCTTGCCGAGGCTGCTTATTCATGGGCTTTGGTTTTCCTGCCTACGTGACCATTGGAGTGCTTAGTGAAAAACGGACGCGGCGCTACGAGTGGTGGCTCGCATACTTCTGTGTTGCAATCACGGTGAACTATGTGATGACAGCAATCGGACAAGAGATCGGGTGGCTTCCTCTGTTTTATCACGCGAAGCTGCTGGTGTTGATGTGGCTACAGTTTCCGTACTTTCAAGGCGCCGAACGACTTTTTAACGCAAGCTTTTCGAGTGTATTTATTGTACCGAAGCTAAAGGACGAGTAAATGCATGTGCGTACGTGATGGACGGATATCTAAGGATCTGCATGTGTGGAAATGACGTGCAACTCTTACCGGTATAAAAAGCACGATTTTATACGACACAGATGTCAGCTATATCATGTTGTACCCGTTGAGGGAAAATGATCCTTGCGGCCACGTGCTGTGTCATGTGGGGACGTGATGGGTCTCCTACATAGTGCAACTACAGGCACTCAAATCTTTGAGGGACTTAAAGCAAGCACAAGCGCATTGAATGGCTACAGATAATAAAGTTCGAGCTTCTTTAGAAAGATGCAGGTCTGTGTCTCAAATTAATTTCTACGTGTTGCCTGACACCTGATGGATAAAAATTATCGGAATATTGGGCAGGGCTGATCCGTACTATGGATGTTGCTATTACTTACTATAAACGCGTAGAACGTTTTAACGGGTTGGTAATCGGCTACTATATAGTGAGCTGATAAAAATACACACCCTTTCCTTCAATCCGTACCCTTCAAACCTGATGTTCGCACTCTTTTGCCACCCGATTACAAACCCCCTTTTCCGGCGGACTGTTTCTCTGCGTAAAACAATCAAGAGTTATAGACAGTATATGTACCCTCATTTATCATATTTCACCAGTTTTGTATTTCGCTTGATGGGAGTGTACTTTAAAAGTCCATGTGAGATAGAACTTCTAATTGGAGCTTCTATAGATTTAATAGAACTATGCAAGAGTGTATAATTGCGTGTTCGTGTAATTTTTAAAGCCGCGGTCATGAGAAGATAAGAATGTCAGTATCGAGGTCATCGCCGTGCAGTCTACTACAATATGTAGTGCATATCTTACACAATTATGTTGCGGTTTCGGCCATTTTAAACTGTAACAACATTATTTTTTATGAAATGAACAACTGTTACGGGGACTGTAACATGGTCACATGTAGTTGGGTACCTGGTACATTGTGTCTTAGGCACACGAATGATATCCCACTAAAAGAGATAAAGAATATCTTATCGGTGTATAGGGCTGACTGGTGTCAGCCACTCGATAGGAGAGACCTTAGTTGTACTAACTTTGGTTAAGATATTCTATAGGTGTAAAGATCAATAAAATTCACTTCCCTTTTTGATCTTAAAGAAACGTGCCTTGCAAGGCGTCTTTGGTCGTTGATCGATGATCACTAAGAGTTAGCAATACCTCCCTGATGTAGCTAGTTAAACTTGTGCACTAAGTGCTATCGATTCATTGAATCATTTAGTCCCCTGCAACAAGGACCATAAGCTTTACGCTTGTTTACTCATTGAGTCTAGTTCTTAAGAACTAAGTTGCTCGTTGAGCGTTAAGTCTTCCTCTGACTTAAGGAGCTGTGTAGCTCCACTACACTTGGTAGCACTAGTAGATAATGTACGCCTGAGTATATTTAGACTGATCTTCTATGAGAATGGAAAACCCCACTCCCCTCTCTAAGGCCAAAACGGTCACGCTTGATAAGCTGACCGCATCTTTGGGTCCAGATTACGTGGAGTTCCTTGTTGCTTATGGCCCTGAGGTGCTAAATACACGTGATGAAGGCTTCATGCAGTACAAAGCAACCCTTCTAGGGCAGGTCCAAGACCAAGTAGCGTTGGCTATCCCTACACGCTGTGTCTCTGTACCAGACAAAGAGGCTAGGCCTCGTCCACTTATAAAGAAAATTAAGAACTACTCAGGATAGGAGGGTGAATACCTCATTCTCTGAATCCGTATAGGAGAGTGAATACCTCATTCTCTGACACCGAGGTTGAATACCCCATTCGCTGAATACGTGAGATTGAGATGGACATAAGATCAGGCCTGATCAAGCTTGACCATCAACAGGTCTCGCTGGCTATCTCAAAGCTCGATGGAAGAACTATAGAATGGGCTTTGACGTGTAGCACGTCGGTTGAATTAGCATTCCCCACATCGGAATCGCTAAAGCCACAACGGATAAAAGGGTTTCACCACCTAAACAAGCTTGCCGCGTGCGTTCACGCTTTTTATCTACCCGTCAGGATAAGATTGAGTTATCGGACTATGTCCAAAAGTTAAGAGCATTCATGGCTGCAATGCAGTCTGAATCTCTGCCTGAGACATTTCATGTGACTATCTTCATGGAAGGTCTTCGTACTGGGATTGCCAGAACCAAAGTTTATTGGGTTCACCCCTCCACGTACAAAGAGGCTGTGAGAATTGCTTTAAATTCTGAGCATAACATCAAGTCGACCAGGCTTGTCTGGAGACCAGGCTTGTCTGAAATTAGTACAACCCTAGCTCTGCGAGAGCAAGTTCAACAAGTACTCTGGCCTTTAACAGGCCGGAACCGATGGATCTCAGCTATGCTGACGATGAAGGTGAAGTTGAACTACAAGCCGCTGAGTAGCAGCGCGTCGTACGACGATGTTTTACGTGCGGAAGCACTAAACACTTGCGGCCTGGTTGCCTTTGCGTAAACAGCGTCAGGCTACTAGCCAATAATCAACCGGGCCAGAAGTCTGGCATGGCATGGGGAAATGCCGACGCCCAGAAGGAGAGGGCTCCATACTGGGGAAGAACTGGGTACTGTTGCACATTCAGGAGGTTAAGTTAAACATAGCTTAGCCCCAAAGCGATCCATACCTATAGGTATGGAGCATGGTTACAAGTATGGCTTGTTAGTCGCCGAGGCGAAAATTAGGGGCTTTAAGAGGCCTTGGTCAATATTGATCGACTCTGGAGCGTCTTGCAATTTTGTTCGACGTCGTTCCCTTGACGGGAGTCAGCGTTATCCTTAGGCGCTTACAGCGCATGAGGGTGATTCTACCACGGTCCGTTTAGCGACTAATAGTCGTGTTACTGTGCCTTAAGTTCCGTAGGCATACAGTTTTAGACTTTGACAGCATTGAACGCTGCCTTGTCCTTGATTTTAACTTAATATATGATCTCATTCTAGGAATGGCTTGGCTTAGACGTCATGATCCATGGATTAATTGGAGGTCTAAGACCTTGTTCGCCACGCACAACGTTCCTAGCGAAGTTTTGGAGAGTCATGAACCCACCTTCGCTATGAAACAAAAGCACTACAAGCGCGAGCCTTGGACTGAAGATGTCAATGTGCTGGACATTGAAATGTCTGAGTTGTTTAGCTCCAATGTTGATTCATATATTCCGAGCGTAGCTCGTTAGATATCGGTGATACGGCACGTACTTCGTTGACTTTTATTTTGTGATAACGAGTCACTGCATGCTGAAAGCATAGCTGGCCTATGGCCAGATTATCAAGGATGTGATTCCTTTGATGTGTGTGAGGTGGCACGTGAAATCCACCCGAGTGTGGGCGACCGTGAGGGCACCACACTTAATATCGGTAATGACATTGTTGGCGATACGCCGTTCAGCTCGGGGCTCGGCCCGCATAATGTAAGTGGAGTGGCACGTGGAAATCCACCGGGTGAAGTGTTTGAGTTTAATGTAACCCTTCACCGGATGTCGGTCAATAGATCGGCTCTCGTGTATAGCTACTACTATTAGTAAAAATAAAGGGGAAAGTAGCGTCCCGACCCCTTAGGGGTGCGAAGTCTCCAAGAGACTACTTGGATGTCAGGTGGCAACTGTTAAGCGCCAGGCGTCCACACAGTCACCGAGTGATAATAGAAATACACTATAAACAACCTACAACGGAGTGACTGGCCAGGTTGAGGGCAATGTTATCCTGGTAACCCTTCCATCTTTGGATACTCGTTGTGAGCTAGACGAAATGTCCGATGGCAAGTTTAACCAGGCCTTGAAGACAGGAGAGTTATCCGAGTTAGCGGTCATCAGACCTGATACTGAGTTAAATTCTTCCTCGTTAATGGATGAGTCTGTCCTGGAGGATACAAAGGCGGCACTTAGTGCACGAAGCGGATCCTCCATCCTTAAAGATCCTTTGGATCCGTTCTATCCTTTAATTAAGGAATTTCAAGATGTGGTATGTCACAACCCACCTTCTGCCTTACCACCTCATAGAGGTGTACGTCATAAAATTGGCTTAGTTCCAGGAACTAAATACTGTGTAACACGGCAGTGGCCTTTGCATAAGGAACAGTGCGACGTCATTGAAGAGTTCTTTAGTGCTAATCACGCGGCTGGAATGGTTCGTAAGAGTAAATCTCCCCATTAAACACCGACAATTTGTGTCAAGAAGCCAAATGGCAGTGGCGCATTGTGCATGCTTATAATAAGCTTAATGCATCCACTATACCGGTGCAGACGCCTATTCCTAGATAGGATGTTCTTCAGAGCAATATAGTAGGGTGTACATTTTACGGTGCACTCGACATAGTCAACGGTTATTACCAGCTCCTCATGCGAGCAAGTGATATTCCGCTTACTGCGTTGAGTACTCCGAACGGTAAGCTCTGGGAGTGGCTCGTTATGTCTTAAAGGCTGTCGAACGCCTCGGCTAATTAATCGTCTGATGACGCAACTGTTCAGACCTCATCGAGATTTCTCACAGACGTACTTTGACGTTATCTTTGTCCATAGTCGTACACTGAATGGTCGATCAGATGTGGATAACCACATTGATCATATACGAGCTGTGTCGAGTGCATGCGCACGAATAAATAGTACGCTAACGCGTCTAAGTGCATCTTTGGTGCAGAAGAATTTCCTATTCTAGGGTGCTTTGTTGGGAAGCGAGGCCTTCGAGCGTACCCCGCTAAGGTAAAGGCCATAGTCGATTGGACGGTTCGTAAGAACCAACATGACTTACGCAAGTGGCTTGACCTTACCACTTAGTTGCGTAAGTATAGTGCGAATTACGCAGACATGACTAGGACATTATCCAATCTCCTGAAAAAGGATGTGGATTGTTGTTGGTGTCATACCTAGCACGATGCTTTTACAGCAATAAAGAAGAGTCTCCTCAATGCGGCAATATTGGCTTTGCCCAATCGTGATCGGCCTTTTTAGTGTCGTTTGTGACGTATCTGACTTTGCCATTGACAGTGTTCTGTTACAAACAGATGTTGATGGACGTGAGCGCGTCATCGCGTTTGAGTCTCGCCAGCTTATAGCTGCTGACAAAGAACTCCTTTCTATGAAGTGTTCTCTAGTCAAATTCAGAGTAAATCTGCTTAAATCAAAGCCTTTTGTGATCTATACAGATCATTCGTCATTGTGCACTGCGACACAGTCAACGCATCTCTTTCAGAAGATGGTCAATGGCTTTCCTTCTTTGCCGAATAGAACTTCGAGGTGGAGTACAAGCCAGGCAAGCAAAATGATTTGGCTGATGCTCTATCGCGCTGACCTGAATATGAGCTTGCTCATGTTAAGACACTGTTGTCATCTGTCCCTGACTTTATCCGTGCGGCTTATACCAAGAACGAACAGTGTGTAGCTTTGCTAATGACTCGTAGAAGCGATGAGCTTAAAAACTCGGATATAACATTGTCGTCACGTTTACGCGCAAGGCAACATCGGTATTCTATTAATAATGGCTTCTAGTGCTATCCCTCGTATCGCTGTCTCTCATGATTAGCAGTTGAAGTATTGAATCCTCTATAAGGCAAATGATACCGCTTTAAGTGGTCATCTCGGTCGTAAGACTGCCTATGGCTCAGTGAGCCAAACTTGTTGGTGGCTCAAGACGTACAAAATGGTGAGAACCTAAGTGCGTACGTGCTAAACGTGTCAACGAGTCAAACCTTCAGCACATGCGGCTGCGCGCTAGCTAGTTTGCCTGTACCCACTGGGTGTTAAATCCGTCATCAGTATGGACTTTGTGTTTAGCCTACCGAAAGACTCGGAAGGCAACACTAGTATTGTGGTCTTTGTAGACCGTTTGGGCAAGATAGCTCATTTAGCGGATGTGACGCGATCGATGCTGAAGGTACAGCAAAGCTATTTATCGATCGTGTGTTTCGACAACATGGTTTGCCTGTGGCAATTATCTCTGATTGAATCCCCGCTTCACTGGGAGGTTTCGGAAGTCTATCTTCAAGGTTCTCGGCACCCGATTGGACATGTCCACGGCGGATCATCCGCAGACCGATCGTCAAACTAAACTTGTTAATCGCGTCATTAGTGACATTTTGCGCAGTGTTTGCGCTAGTACGCCACGGCATTGGAGATCAATGCTCCCTGTTGTTGAATTTGCATTGAACAATGCTGTTCATGCCTCCACAGGCTTTACTCCGTTCTATATAAACGGTCTCACTCACCCTCGCGTTCCATTAACGCTACCACTCTATTGCTCAGGGCTTGGTGGGGGAGAAATTGCCAATTGGCTTGCTAATATTAGCCTGCTACTGTGCAAAAACAGGTAGGCAAGTATCTCGCAACGCGATTGAATGTCTTTCTACATGTGCGTGACGCAATAACTGATAGCCAAGATCAACAGAAAGAACAAGCTGATGCTAAATTAGAAATTGTATTGATCTTTATCAGGTCAGAGACCAAGTACTACTCAATGCTAAAAACCTACCTACAAATGTAGTGTCTGCTGTCTTCAAGACAAATTTGCGTCCACGCTTCATTGGACCGTTTACGGTCACTGCCAAGAAGGGCCTTGCGTATACGCTTAACTTTTCACGCAAATTGCATACACACCTAGTGTTATACGTAGGCTTACTTAAGCCGTACTGGGATCCTTCCCATGTGAACTTTAAGGTGCTGGCACCGACGACGAGGGAGGTGCCCCGGATTGCTACAAGATAATCATCAAGTCCAACTGAGCCTCGCTCCGAGTTTGAGCATGCTCCATCGCCTGAAGGCGGCTCTGCATCGCATCCAGCATGCATTGGGTCTTCGCCAGGGTCTCTTAAAGACCCTTCACTTCGAGAACCAATTTCTCGTGGACTGCCACCGGTACACCGGCCGTCACCGACGCTGATCGATGAGCATGGGTGTCGTCAGTTTCACGCCTAGAGACTACTGAAACGACGCCGTTATCATGGCCAATACCAGTATATGGTAAAGTGGCGTGGGTACCTGAGTCTGAAAACTCATGGGAATACGAGGTACCCCTTCGGCAAGACTGCCCATATGCTTTGAAGGCTTTTGAACATCGTGGCCAATGTCATCTTGAGACCGAGGCCGTTTCCCACCACTAGTGGTGTGGGTTGGCGGGTTGGTGGTCATAGTTTGACCAGCACCCGCGGCTACCGTAGTAGCCGAAGTATGTCGCGTGGGATTACGCAATTGGTCTCTGGCCTTAATTTTGGCATCGTCATACCGAATCTTGCGTTCGAGATGCACATCAGCCACACTAGCACTAGCTCTCAGAGCAGACATCCCGCTGAGACGACGTTTGCTATGCACCCAGCGGACGAAGGCATTGACTTCTTCGCTCTCTGTTTCGCCTGCAGACAAGAGAATGGGTATACCCTTAATCGGTGGGACCGGTGTACCACGCGCTTGCATGTCAAGGCGTGCCTTGTATTGACCTTGAGTCGTTGGTTAAGGCTCTTAGCACTTTTCAAGAAGTGCCTGACCGCTCGCCACCTCCTCAGGAGAAATAGACATATGACCAATTGTCCACGTTGCCAAAGATTGGCCGGCCGATTGATGCAATCGTTCCTCCACACTGGTTGAAGTGAATACATAGTCATGTTGGTGCTTGAGGATTGCGAGCATTTGCGCATGGCGCCGAGTGCTTTCTCCTTGTTGAAGGATTATATGTTGTTGCTTATCGAGCGAATTCGTGATGATGGTGTCATCTGAGTCGAAGGTTGAGCGTGGCGCTGATGGCATATTCTTATCATCACGTCCAGGGAACGGACAGGGGGCTGGAAAAGGTTGTACCTCAAACATGGGTGTATCGGACTTTGTTCCTGCATCACCCGGGACACTGGCATCGCTACCATAGTCCAAAACCTCCCCCATTTCGAGGTAATCACTAAGAGTCTTTGACTCGTTAGGTGATGAGGACATCGTGCTAAATTCTTTACGTTTCCCTAACGAACCGCGCGATTACTGACCTCGCAAAAGAACAAAGTTCGATGAGAACGTTCGATTGGGACGAGGTTGGATTAACGTTTTGAGAAACGTCAGTCTGGTGGGGGAAGGTGTGACAGGGACACGCAGTTGGGTACCTGGTACCCTGTGTCTTAGGCACACGGATGATATCCCACTAAAAGAGACATAGAATATCTTATCGGTTTACAGGGGCTGACTGGTGTCAGCCACTCGATAGGAGAGACCTTAGTTGTACTAACTTTGGTTAAGATATTCTATAGGTGTAAAGATCAATAAAATTCACTTCCCTTTTTGATCTTAAAGAAACGTGCCTTGCAAGGCGTCTTTGGTCGTTGATCGATGATCACTAAGAGTTAGCAATACCTCCCTGATGTAGCTAGTTAAACTTGTGCACTAAGTGCTATCGATTCATTGAATCATTTAGTCCCCTGCAACAAGGACCATAAGCTTTACGCTTGTTTACTCATTGAGTCTAGTTCTTAAGAACTAAGTTGCTCGTTGAGCGTTAAGTCTTCCTCTGACTTAAGGAGCCGTGCATCACCGCAACAGCGACTCCCTAAACCTCCTGTAATTTCCATCGCATCCTCTTCAGCACCATCCATAACAAATTCAGGAACGATTTTTAAATACTATTAAATTGCGCGATTCCGATTCACAACAGCAGTTGCAAAGTCGTAGCTGCATTCATTGCGCCTAATTACGTCATTTTGCTCAGCTTAGGCAACTCTCGCGGTAGGGCCGCGGAACAAACGCACGATAAAGTATGTTTTGTACATATATACAGATCTAAGGAAGATGGAGGTATGTGTATCATCACAAGAGGCCATCGCGTATATTTATTCGTATCGCTTGGCAGTACTGGGTGAAAGTTTGTATTATTTTAACGCAAGCAGCTTGTAAGAAGCAACCGCGTATAGGTATTCTGTAGCCCTATAACATATTATTGCCTGTACCTTACACGTAGAATGGCCTGTCAACAGATTAGCAGTATGTATCTGCAGAATTAAAAATCGAGGTATTATTATATTCTAGGTGCCCTAAATATAAATGGCGAAATTGAAGTCACTTTTATGAGTGCTGTTAAGATTTGCTGATGCACGCCTTATTTAATTACTAAATAGACACCTTTCAAAACAATTTTTATTTGCTATTAAATGCACACTTAAAAGTATTTTTCAAGCTCGTTAACACTTGCGTACATGCAAAGTAGTTGCCGTCAATCACGCAGGACAATGCGAGTCGTGGAAGCGGGTTAGATGAGTGTGGGCTGCTTGAAACTTGCCAAAGGGGTATATTGTTTTTCCCTTTTATTTATCCGCAAAGGATTAAGCTGGCGATTATGGGTCATCAAATTGTCGGCTTGTCGATGTTGCTTAAGAAATTGTGCGCAATGATTGTATTTTAATTAAACTTGAGCATGTAATTAACCATTAATTTGAATTTGGTGCACTACACGCTAACGAAAGTTGTCATCTTCTATTTAGACCTTAAATAACTCGTAAATTGGTTTAGTGAAATTGCCTTGTACAATTAACACGCGTCCTGCTAATCTTATAAGCTCGACAGAAATGTGGATACAGTAAGCACGATCACGATGATTTTATTCGAGCACCCATCAGTCCGTAACGCTTTACATGCAATTGAATCGGATCAGATCGTGTTCGTTGTTGTGAAGTTAAGCGACATTAGCTAATTTACATGGTCCTCGCTATTACACAGCATTTAATTAACGAGGGACCTGTGTTAGTGCTAGCGGCCAACAATGAGCGACCTTGCAGGCGTATACTTCGAGTTCAAAATGCAACGTTTTGATGAAATAATGCGTGAATTGTTTTAACAAATGCGCGGTGTTACTGTATTACCCGTATACGCACCCATTGTAGATCTCTGCTCTACAAAAGTAATTTAAGCTCGAGAAAAGTGCAAGAAAGTAAAGAGACCGATTTATTTAGGTTATGATTTGTTACTACCTACGTGTGTCCCTTCCATTTTTTTTTGGCATTTCGCTTTTGTACCACCAATCGCATCCATAGTAAAGTTCTTTTCATAGCATATGACTGTTTCGCAAAACGTCACACCTTTTCTGCTGGATCTCTTATTAAATGTGGTGCATTAGCAAAAAATTATGGAAATACTAGTATTGCTTCAATGAGTGCGTTTTTGGAATCTATAGGTATGAACTCAGATTGCTCAGTATTTTGGTTAAAAAGCACCACTTCTCTATCTCTTTTTCTTTAATGGAGTCGATGTTATCTACACGTGCATCGTACGTGGTGACCTCACAGTTAGTCTAAATGAGTGAGAGCTGAGTTGATATTGTTTAAAGAGTGCGTCCCTCCTCCTTTAATAATATTTACACTCTTAAAGGAGATAAGGAGGATGGCGCAACCATACATGAAAAACAATGTCTACGTTTTCAAGACATGCCACCAGTTGTTGATACCGAATTCCCATATTACTAAAAAAAAATGCTGTGATTCGTAAACTGACAATATACCCCTGGGGGATCCTTTCAGGATACGGCTGACGCTTTTCGTCTTACTATCTGCTCACATATATACGATGTAGACATCTTGAGGTAAGTTTCGAGTGTTTTGAATACGGAGTGTCAGAAGTTAGTCGTGTATTGCGGGTCTCGATCAGACACGCGAAGGCAAAAGATTGAGTTAATGAAAAAAGAGCACAATGCTGTAATTTTTCAAGCGCAGCAAAAGATCATAGAATACTGTCGGAACCATCAGCCAACACAAGACAATCGGTCTTCATGTGTGGCTACGGGGACACAAAGACAAAGTCCAATGAATCAGACTAGCAGCAGTATGCCGAAACAGGCAGAGGTGGAGAGGATCACAAGTATGAGGCTAGATTTTACTCGCTATAATGGATTTAACAGAACGAACAAACTTGCTCACAATTCATAATTGGCGAGACTAGAAAATGTCACGTCTTACCGTGCGATAAAATGCGGCTTTGTGGGACATGCAAAATATTTACTACATTAAGTCATCGTAGTCACACACTTTGCATCTGCTCGTTTGAGCCAATACCTCGCTAAGTACGAGTCTAAAATATTTCAGAAAGATGTTAAGAAATGATCCATATTGCCCACAATCGCTTGATCAAGTACATAAGCCTTTCGATTGTCGCCCATCTGTGTGGACGGGTTAAGGATGTCGACTTGTCAGAAGTAAATACTCACAGTAGAAGTGCGTAGGTAGATCGAAATGGGACCATATTAAGAGTGAATCAGAAACAATGGTATGCCGTATTGCTTTACTCCACGAATTCGTTGTACTCCGCAAAATGGATACATACACTGCACCATTTTGACGACAGGATTGTAACGGCCGTGCGTATTGACGCATGGTGAGCACAATCTGTGAATGCTCTGTTACAGATGAAAACTGGACAAATGTATCTGATCATAGTGGAGTAGACATGTGCTTGCGCGGATGAAGACACACACATTGTACAGCAAGTCTTTCTTGCACGGTCAATTGCGGTACCTGGAGCTATAATTCTCGCGCTTTATTTGCTGGCCTACGGCAGACATTTTGTCGCATCTACACGGCTTGATTGTAGTTTTATTCTGGGTAACGCTCGCTGGTATGCATTCCTGGCTGTGAGTGCCTAAAGAGATGACAATGTATTCTGCCAGGCTGATTAAATTAGCGGCTCCTTGTAATCGGATAGATATCATGATCATGGCAGTCACCGCAGTCGGCAACTTAGCAGCAGCTAGATCTCTGCGGGAATAGCTGATAATTGAAGTATTTTGGGTATCCTTTAAAATGAGCCCATCGTAAATCATACCATGCTGAGTGTGCTAAATTCACACTTGGACCCGGAAGGCCCTTTGGTTAACTACGGTTGAAGCTTTATGTAATCAGCAACCCGTCATCTTTCCTTGCGTAAATGTGGAGTTTGTAAGTCTTCGTGCACCGATATTTTCATGGCAAGCTAAGATAATTTATAACGACAAAAGAAATGCTACAGCTGATGTTCGTCAAGCAGTTGACACGTTTATTTCTATATACCTTCAAAATGTTAAAGCTGATGTTCGTCAACCAGTTGACGCGTGCGTTTCTGTAGACCTTTAGCTTGTCTTCGCAGCATCGAAATGAATCCACGAGAGGTGGATGATTCACGCAGAGCTTCCAGACGTGACTTGGCTTAAATACTGTTAAGGCCACATGAACATTCTTCATGGCACTGGATTTGCGGAAGATGCGCAATACCTTCAGCGTACTCTTTCATGGACTAAAATTCGACGTGGTGTTGCAAAATTTACGCCACTGATCGATATGTCAACGACATGTATCGCCAAGTAAAGAACATTTGGTCCGTTCTGCCTCACTATCGTGTAAAGCCTTATTTAACTTACGTTCCGCGGTTAAAAGCTAGGGGCTTCTATGCTTACACGCCGTCAATACAATAATAGCGAGACAGCTTCATAAACTTAGATAAATCAATTGTTACACATTTAAATTCGGGTATGCCGTCCTATTTAAAATTTGTATCCTCTTTATACAAGTACAAATACTTGGCCTCCAATATCTGGATTACCCGTACAGTTTGACGCCATCTAAGACTAAAATCGCTTCGTACAAATATAGTTGGTAACCCGAACACAAAGCTCTTCTAAACAATGTAATGCGCAGCTTACAATTTTACGGGATAAGACGTTAAAAATAGCGGGCAGTAAGCACTGACTTTTCCTGGTGTCGGCAAGTTCTGATTTGGTCGAGTGGTCGGAGGTTTTACACATAAAAGAAACTCTTTTTACTGGAGTACGGACTCCTTATCTTCTGAGAGACAGCTTTACGCTATGGAACTAATCAAGACGAGACATGTCATGCCCTAACCCTTATGTGCTGACGCTTAGCTTTGAAATGTAGATAATCGTAAATGGAGTCTTATATACGACCTTAGGTGACGGCAGTCGACTCTTAACGTAGATGGCCGTCATAGCTGCTTCAGCCTAAAAAAACTTTCCAAAACTGCATGATGAAGCATGCTGCGGCCGATCGTGACGATAGTCATAATGGCAAACTCTTCTGTGTCGTTTATTTGATGTGCATATGACACCGTAGTCTGCTGTTCGAAGCCTTAGTCTTCGAAGGACGCTTAAAGCAAGTTGGCTGCGAACTCGCAGGCTCCGTCGTGTCACACAAACTTGACCTTACTGAACAGCGTCTGTACCATAGTGATGTACTTCCGGATGTAGTCTTCACTCTCGGACTTCACTCGTAAACAAAATTTCTTCATACGTCCACTGGCTTCTTCTACAATCAGTAGCAAGTATCTGCTACCACCGAGCGAATCGCTTTCCATGGGCTCACAGATGTCCAGATGAAGCAGCTCGAACGTTCGTAGTTACGCTTGTCGCGGTTGTTTGGGAATGGTTTTTGGACCATTTTCCCTTGTTGACACCCTCGACATGCAGTTGCTCCATTCGACTTGAGAGGGACTCGCACATCCTTGATCTTGTTGGTAGTGATCATCTTGCGAAGTACGTCGACTGGAGCGTGACCCATTCACGCATGTAGACCAGCACAACTGTTTCTTTTTGTTGCCACATTTGCTAATCGCTGAGTCGTACGAATCCAGTAAAGTCCATCCACTAGATCCGCTGTCGGCATCACTTGCTGTGAGTTCTTGCGAGTCACATACATCTTGGACCCGTCAAACACGACTTGGAACTTGCCATGCTTGTTGATCTGTGGCACCAAGATCAGGTTCTTGCTCATACTTGGAACAAATAGCGCATTCTTGATCTAGACTATGCGCTCTTCACCGTTGGGCAGAACCACCTTATTAATGATGGTACCTACAAGAGAGTGTGGAGCTGAATGACCGAAACTGGGGAGGATGCTGAGGGTCCTCTCGGAAGACCAGAGAAGACACTTAGGCAGTAGATGGAAGATTGGAAAGTGATTGATTATCGGACCTTATCTGCCTACGCCCTGATTTACATGCGTCCACATATAAATCAGTCGGCGCGTCTAACCACCCTGCTCGTCTAATCATTCCTGCGTAGTTACCGACGTAACACCATCCCGTAAGAACTACATCTTAAAATCCGGGTTGTTTCGGTAACCTTCAATGCACCCCCTCAATCCGAACAACTTGAATTGTAGATGTTAAGAGCTGCGTCAAGTCCCTGTGACGAGGTCCCGAAAGTCCCTTGGTCATGATGTCCACCGCCATCACGGAAGTCTCGCAATACTTGAGCTTTACTTCACCTCGCTTGACCTCACCACAGATGTTAAGGTACTTGCAGTCGATTTGCTTGGAAAGGCCATAATTTTTTAAATTCTTCGTCATCTTGATGCACGACTGGTTGCTTTCACGGATGACAAAGTCCGGTCCTGACTCGTTGCGGCTGCAAAAATCCTGCATAACAGGCGATGTGTCATCCACTTGCCTTACTGAATGACTAGACTCAGTGCGATGTACTCCGCTTCACTCGTCGGCAGCGACACACTTGACTGCTCCTTGCTTCTTTAACTCACAGAAGCACCCATCAGTATGAAAGCCCGAAGTCGATCAGTATGAAAGTGTAACCCGAAGTTGACTTGCGATCAGCATGGTCGCCGGCCCAGACAGATCTGAGTATCCACAAAATCAATCTTGTCGCTTGGCTGGAAGCGGAGTCCGCGCGACTTGGTCCCTTGAAAATAACGAATGATCCGCCGTCCAACAGTCTTGCTGCGGATTATCCATGAAGTGTGAGAAGTACCCCACAGCATTCGCAATGTCCGGGCGCGTCGCAGTCGTTAAGTGCATTGGAGATCCAACAGCTTCGCGAAACGGAACGTTGATCTTGGCCGATTCACTGCTTGCGACAAGCCGAGTGCTCAAATCGACCGGACTTGCTGTGGCCTTGCACTCATGCATGCCGAAACTCTGGGGATGTCGTTGACATATCGTCGCTGGCACATCGTCACGCTGCTATCCAATCCGTCCATCAGTTCGATGCCTAGTACAAAAGTGCATTCGCCACTGTCGGTCATCTCGAAGCGTGTCTTGAGATCGGCCTTCGTATGAGCAATCAACTCGAGCGAGCTGCCGGTGAATAACGCGTCATCCACGTAAACCAGCACGAGAACACAGTGACCATCGACCACCTTGATGTAGAGACATGGGTCGAACGCCGACACTTCGAAACCGATGAAGCACACGAACACGTCGAGATTCTCGTTCCATACCCGTGAAGCTTGCTTGAGACCGTAGATCGCCTTCGCCAACTCTAAACGATCAAAGTCGTCATAAGGCTCGACGCCTTCCGGTACCACGCAGCACACCTTCTCCTTCATCACACCTTAGAGAAAAGCTGTCACCACATCGGGTTGGTCCAGTGGCCAGTCGAAGTACTTGGTGATCGCTATCACCATACGCAGTGTCACGTACTTTACCGCGGGCGAGAACGTTTCCGTGTAGTCGATGCCGTACTTCTGCTTGAAGCCCTTGGCAATAAGGTGCGCCTTGTATTTCTTGATCGATCCATCAACTTTGCGCTTGATCTTGAATGCCCACGTGAATCCGATGGCGCCTTGGCCTCTTGGCAGTTTAGCCGCACGAAAAACTCCACGAAGATGCATCGACTTGAGCTCCGCCTATACAGCACTTCGCCAGTGAGCCTGATCAGGACCTTTAATTGAGTCTTGCAAAGTCGCAGGTTCTGCCAGGTCCGTTGCTTCCACTGCATTTGCACTTGCACGCCAAAATGTTTGAGGCATCAAGTCGTCATCTTGATCGGAGACTCCCGCATCTTCTTTGTCATCAGACATCGTTTCGGGAGCACTTGATCGTCGTTTCTGGTGACGGTTGGAGACGCGTTCCGGCACACTTGCTTGTTCCAACCCGGTTTAATGGTGAGATGACCGTGACATGCCGGTGCTTGCTTCACTCTTGCGCTTGCCAGTCTGCTTGTAGGTGGTCTGACGTACGTCATCGTTGAACGCCAGGAGGTTGAGGTCCAACTCCGCATCTTCATCGTCGTCACTTGATCGTTCCATCGAAAAATTAAATGTCGATTCGTCGAAGGTGAAGTCACGACTGATCACCACTTGGCCCGCCTCAATGCCGTACACTCGGTACGCCTTTGACGCTTCTTCGTAGCCCATGAACATCCGTAAACGAACCATCGAGTCACACTTCATTCGCTTCACCTTTAGTGTCAGGATGTACGCTTGACATCCAAACACGCGCATGTGCTTGACACTTGGTTTCGACTTGTACACGATTTCGAACGGAGTCTTGTGATCGATCTTGGGTGACGGCAGGCGGTTCTTGATGTAGATCGCCGTCATTGCCGCTTCAGCCCATAAACACTTTTCCAGCTTTGCATGATGCAACAAGCTGCGTCCGATCGTGACGATGGTCCATATCGCGCGTTCTGCAGTGCCGTTGGTCTGGTGTGCAGACGGCACTGTGACCTGCTGCTCTATACCTTGATCTTCATAGAAGGTCTTGATCGAGTTGGTCGCGAACTCGTGCGCTCCATCATGCCGAACGAACTTGATCTTCTTGCCGAACTGCGTCTGAATCTTGAGAATCTGGTTTTTGATGCAGTCTTCACTCTCAGACTTGGACCGTAGACAGAAGACCTTCATGCACCCGCTGGCTTCGTCGACCACAAGCAGTAAGTATCGGCTGCCGCCGATCGAGACTTGTTACATTGGCCCGCAGATGTCGAATTGTAGCAATTCAAACACACCATAGTGACACTTGTCACGGTTGGTTGGGAATGGTTTTTGGAACATCTTCCCGTGCTGGCAACCGCGACACACACTTTGCCCAGTCGAGTTGAGAGGTGCCTAGGCTTCCTTGATCATGCCGGTGGCCATCATCTTGCGCAGAGCATCGAGGGATGCATGACCCATGTGCGTGCGTAAGTCGATGGCCCCATTGTGTGTCGCTGCATTAGTCGATCGTTGAGGAGTCCGCAGCCAGTAAATTCCGTCGACGAGATCCGCTGTTGCCACAACTTGTTTGTAATTCTTGCGCGTTACTTGCATCTTGGACCCATCGAACACGACTTGGAACCTGCAACCCTTGTTGGTCGGCAGCACCGAAAGCAGATCCTTTCTCATACTTGGCACGAGCAGTGCGTCCTTGATCTCGATGTCGCGCCCGTCACCTATGGGCAGAACCTCCCGTTCCATGATGGTTCCCACACTCTTTATCGCAGCCGTGCTGCCATTAGCCACCGATAGTTCACCTTCCTCTCGCTCATTCAGGCTTGTGAACTTGGCCTTGTCGTTTCAGATGTGATGCGTCGCACCTCTGTCGACCGCCCACATCCTGACATATTCTTGCCTGTTGAAAATCTAGCCTCCAGCGAAACCACAAACGCAACTCGATCGTAGTTGTCGTCGTAGTTGCTGTTGGTTTGCCACTGAACGTTGTTGGCTCCGCGTCCACGAGCATTGTTGCCGGCGCGTAGAGCTCCACGTATATTTTCGTCCTTGTTCATGGTCCAGCACCACTCCGTCGTGTGCCCCATTATTCCGCAGTACGTACACTGGCGAGGTTCACGCTCAGCACTGAACGCCTTCTCCGCGTCTCCAGTCTCCACCGATATCGTCTTGTCACCTTGTCTCTTGATGTGCTCATTTGTGAGCACTCTCATGACGTCTCTCGAACGCAGTTCCGCGCTGCTCATCGCCAAGTTCAACACGACATTCTCGTAGCTCTAAAGGAGGCTGAGCAACAAGCAGATCGCCTCGTCGTCGTCCTCCATCTTGGCGCCGATGCTGCTTAGCTTAGCGCTGATGTTGAGGACTTCATGGCAATGTGATGCATCACATTGCCGCCTTCCTTCATCTCCATGCTGAACAGCTGGCGCTTCAAGTAGATTCGCCCAGCCTTCTGCGACCCACCGTATAGTGTCTCCAAACGCTCCCGCACGACCCACGCTTCCTTACAATCATCGACGATGTGATGGTAGTCGGCGTCCATGTGGAGCAACATCAGTCCGAACGCGATATTGTTGGCCTCGACGTAGTCGTCCATGGCGAGATCTTCCGCGTAGGTCGGCGACGTCTTCCGGTTTACCACGGCCACGTCGACTTAGTCAGGAACACGCCACGCATGTAGCGGCTCCATGTCGCGTGGTTGTCTCCGTCGAACTTGTCGATGGAGATCTTGGTAATGGTATATTAGGCAGAGGAAATCGTGCTTGTGCTCATAATCTGTTGAAAGGTACGAAGCTGGATGACCGAAACTGGGAAGGATGCTAAAAATTTTACTTGGCAGACCGGAGAAGACACTTGGGAAGTAGATGGAAGATTGGAAAGTGATTGATTATCGGACCTTATCTGCCTACGCCCTGATTTACATGCGTCCACATATAAATCAGTCGGCGCGTCTAACCACCCTGATCGTCTAATCATTCCTGCGTAGTTACCGACGTAAAACCATGCCATAAGAACTACATCTTAGAGTTCGGGTTGTTATTGTAATCTTAAAGACAGGTGTAACAGAGAACACCTTCTCCAGCTATTTGAATAAACTTTGCAAAATTGACAGTGCAAGCGTGTGTGCGTCCAACTAACTACCTCACGCACACGTACGTGCAATAATAGATTAGTAAACGGAATAAAAAATACTGAGTTAAGGTGAAAAGTAGAACTGTACATAGCACATTAAATCCTTTATTGGCTTCCTGTGTGACTTCATTTTAATTTGTGCATATTCGAAAATGTACGTAACTACATGCTCACCACTTATTGCGAGCCTTTGCCGTGGCTAGACTTTAAAATTTGACATTTTGTCCCTAAATAACCAAAGAGAAGTGTGATACATCTGTAAATCAATTTTATCTACTAGGATAATGTTTAATGGAAATTATGTTTGTCCTGACACATTATGCATACTTATTGATAACCTAATAAATCCATCATGTAACGGGGGCACCCCGTCACATCCGATACATACATGCCATACACTTAAACAACGCAGCAGACTACACTTTGGCCACGGAAGCGTAAGGTACAAATTTGGGTAGTCAACACTTATCGAGGAATCATTCGAGTGGTTGCGCATAGTGAACAGATTGCAAGATAGATTTTTGTGCAAAGTATTCCGGAAAACAGCGGTGAATAAGTACAGTGTCAGCGAGCACACGATATAAAGATCCCGGAGAGGCATTCGCCGATCAACGAATGAGGCAATGCTGCATATGGAACACAAAGGCAGGAAAAGTTAAATGACTTTCGACAAAGGCCAGCAAATCAACAAAAGAGAGCACGAAAAAAAAGAATGTTCGACTATATGACCATTGACGAATACTGGAGTAGATAGAAGGTTCGCCGATGAGTAAGAGTAATTAAGCGCGGGGATATTAACTTTCTCCACTGTACAAGAAAAGCGACGCGAGCGCATATCAATGCCTTACGACAGAAAAGGAAAGAAGGCGGACCTCAAGATGCATTGACGAGTATAATTTAGCAAGCTCACAAATCGGCGAGCCAGCAACGCGGGGGATATCTTCGGAGATTCGTACTAAGCCAGAATGCTCTGCTTATTTACTTAGGTTAAATGTGGTAATCTCGGTAGATGGAAAAGACTAAGCTGCGGCTTGTCATCGCATCGAATCTGGTCTATAAATTTATATTGAATTGCCATGAATCAATGAAAGACGTACGTTAAGGCACTGTGCGACCATACCGCATACTCAAATCTGACTACAATTGGTTTGGTCTGCCCAAGTGGCACGACATGCAAAATCGTGCGAGGAGTTAATTAACAGCAATAGACATTAATTAATCGGATTGACATAAACATTTTTCGGGCAAAATTTCAAATTTAGATGTGAAAATCATTATAAAAACATGAATTTTCTTCACTTTTCAACATTTTGTCGACTAAAACGTTAACAACTTTTTCTCCTCAAAATCTTTTTTCAATGTGACTGAATATTAGGTGTTCGGTACTGTTATATTACCTATAATTTATAACCGTCTCTATAAATGTATTCGCGAGGAAGCGTTGTCTTCCAACGAGCTTTCTGAGTGGTCAAATTGTATTTTTGACAGAACGCTCGAGAAATCGACGGCAATGTGCAGATATAATTCTATACCAAGATCATCATTATATGGGGTAAGAAATTGCCAAGCACATTGAAGACACCTTTGCACTGGAAAGAGCAACGACATTCGTAGTAACTCTATCTTACCACTTCGGTACTCCCGGTCCCAGTCATCGCAATAGAACCCCAAATCAAAGAGTAAAGTTTGTATAACATTCGTCGAGTGGATGCAACCCCGGTCAAGGGCAACGTTCAGGTATCGATTACAGGCAAATAAACAGCAGAAAGAAAAATGTTGTAGACTATTTCCATTAATTGCGGGTCTATTTAGAAGCGTCGCTACACGAAGATTAGTATGATAATATGTATAAAATGTTTAATAACACCAAAAGCTCATGAGGATCGACGACTAAGAATAATCCAGCCCCTCTTGTGTACAAATGAAACTCTCACTCCACACAGAAACCCATGACAGATTCGAAAGGTCAGACGGTATCCAGGAATGACATAACAAACAATATAAGCAAGATGAAGTACGAAGGAAGTAGTAAAACAATCCCGATAAGACATGGTTAAGAAACGATCTACATGTACTGCAACGAACCATCCCGACGTCGAGGGGATCGGCGATGGTGTAACAAAAAGGATTACAAAGTCAGAATTAATACGGAATCCATTGTGCTTATCGATAAAAATTGCTAATGCTAAGCTAAAAATTGGGCTAGCGTGTAGATGGCGCCGGCTTAGCTATAAAGTTTGCGTTTAAGCTTAAACACATGAACAGAGGTGATCACCAATTCTATCTAACCTGTAAGTTTTCCGATCAAAGATAATTACAATTAAGTGACACTTCCAGCAATCAAATTAGTGGATTATACTAACGAGACGTGTCGGTTAAAATTTGACTAAAAAACTTCTGTTGTACATTAAGTTGTTACCAGATCAATCCGGTAAGCGATGCGAAGGTAAAGCTTTCCTGTAAGATGATGAAGTTCTGCCTCTCGATGATTTATGATCGAAGATAGCACGGATTTTCGATAAATCGGGCTGGATTTATATAACTTATGTGGAAAAAGTCCATCTTTAGTGCAGAGGTTATTTCTTTGGCAACATGGGAAGAAAGAACAGAGAGGATTATCTAAAAGGTCTAAAGTAAAAGACGAGCAATAAAAATGTTGCAGCACACGTGCTCGCCCACGCTGCAAAGACTGGCAGGTGGAGCGAGAAGAGAAGTCACTACGCAAATTAACCAAAGTGTATGAAAGCAAAGATGTAATGGACTTAATTAGTGTACAGATACATTTAATCAAGATGCTGTCAGATTTCGTGGATACAACCGTGGGTCCACTGGAGACAACAATGTGACGCTATCGTAGGCGTCAACGACAAATGACCTACCCTGGCAGTTCTCTGGCTCAGGAGAAGACGGGTCGACGACCGAAGGTGAACATTTTCATGGGACCAATGTCATCGACAAGTAAAGACTTCAATTTACGTGCTTTTTAATAAAATGGAACAGACAGAAGGAACCCCCTGGTTCCAGGCAGAAGAACGTATTATATATCGATGGACACGCCAACCACCACACATGCCAAGGTTCAAACTAATAATTTGCATTAACCTCGAAAATACAAATTAAAGCAATGGATACCTAAGATAATTTTATATTTGGGTAAACCCTTACAGAGTATAATGCATAAATAAAAATGTGTCAGTCCATTTTATGTCCTTACAGCCACAGCTTTAAGGAGGGCCACATTAAGAAAATCTAACGAAAAAATTAATTGAGTCCACGCCGGTGCACTTTACATAGAGTGTATTTGGTCGAAGCGGTATACATCCAGGCCTAATCGTCATCTCATCAATCCCGGTTGGTATCACGATGCGTACCTACCAGGACATTAGACTCCAAGATCCGATGAGCACGCTCTAAAAGATCCACAAAATTCTCAAACATTCATCCGGACCTGCGAGTTGATCTTAATTCGTGCTGTTTTCACACTATAATATCCAAACGTCTGTTGAGGGTAATCGGTTTCCTATTATTATTGGTGACCGTGACCGGTATAATCCGAACCGCCTGCTTAGCTTAGTATTTACGACGTAGTTCTAACGGTAATTACCATAGTTGATTAGACGCTTAGGAAGATGAGACGCTTCACATGATTTATGTATACAACACATATAAATCATGTAGTAAGTAGTAAGCCCCGATAATCAATCACTTTCGCATCTTCCAACTCGTGAGCAAGTGTCTTCTGCTCTACTCTCTTCAGCCTCTCCGCTCCCTTCGCTCCGCTTTCTGCCATGCAACAGGTTATGATCCCAAGCGCCATGTCGTCCACCACCAACGCATCATCCAACGCCTCCATTGATAAGTTTAATGGCGATAACTATGCGACTTAGATTCGATACATGTGCGGTGTGTTTTTTGACGAAGTCCGACTGGTACGTCGTAAACCGTGAAGCGACCTCGACTTTCACCGACCCGCGAGCGTCCGATGACTACGTCAAGGCGAGCAACGTCGCTTTTGGTACGATGCTGCACATGAATGCGGATTACTATCATGTGCTTGACAACTGTGAGGAAGCTTGTGTTGCGTGAACACGTCTGAAGACGCTGTACGGTGAGTCGCAGAAGGCAGGACGCATCTTCCCCAAGTGACAACTTTTCAGCATCAAGATGGCTGAAGGCGCGAACGTCATGCATCACTGCAACGAGGTCCTCAACATCTCCGCCAAGCTTAGCGGCATCGGTGCGAAGATGGAAGACGAAGACGTTGCGATCTGTCTGCTGCTCAGTCTTCCGAAGAGCTACGAAAATGTGGTGCTCAACATGGAAATGAGCAGCACCGAGCTTCGTACCCAGGATGTGGTGAGAGTTCTGACGAATGAGCACGTCAAGCGCCAGGGAGAAAAAGGGACAGCAACAGCGACGACGGTGAAGGCTGAAGATGCAAGCACGGCATTCAGCACCGACCGTGAGCCCTACCAATGCACGTATTGTGGCAAATTGGGACACACTGTGGATCGTTGCTGGACAAAGCAGAAAAACGAAGGTCGAGGAGGCCGATGCGGCGGCAATGGTCGTGTATGCGGGGCAGTATCCAGTGTGGACATTACGATGAAGGCAATGGCTACGATGAAGTGACGTTTGCAGTCTCGTTCGAATGTGGAGTTTCGACGAGCAAGGACGTGTCTGGAATGTGGGCCATCTACAGTGGTGCAACGCACCACATTGCCACGACAAGATCAAGTTTGCAAGTTTGGCAGAGCGCAACGAGGGCGAACTATTGGAGGCTGATGGCAGCAAAATGGCCATCAAGGGTGTGGGAACCATCATGGAAAAGGTGGTTCTTCCAAACGGTGAAGATCTTGGGATCGATATCAAGAACGCGTTACATGTTCCAAGTATGAGCAAGAACCTGCTTTCGGTGCCAAAGACTAACAGGCATGGTATGTTCCAAGTCGTGTTTGACAGGTCCAAGATGTGTGTGACTCGCAAAAACTCACAGCAAGTGATGGCGACAGAGGATCTAGTGGATGGACTTTACTGGATTCGTACGACTCAGCGATCAGCAAATGTGGCAACAAGAAGAAACAGTTGTGCTGGTCTACATGCGTGAATGGGTCACGCTCCAGTCGACGTACTTCGCAAGATGATCACTACCAACATGATGAAGGATGTGCGAGTCCCTCTCAAGTCGAATGGAGCAACTGCATGTCGAGGGTGTCAACAAGGGAAAATGGTCCAAAAACCATTCCCAAACAACCGCGACAAGCGTAACTACTAACGTTCGAGCTGCTTCATCTGGACATCTGTGAGCCCATGGAAAGCGATTCGCTCGGTGGTAGCAGATACTTGCTACTGATCGTAGACGAGGCCAGTGGATGTATGAAGAAATTTTGTTTACGAGTGAAGTCCGAGAGTGAAGACTACATCTGGAAGTACATCACCATGGTACAGACGCAGTTCAGTACGAAGGTCAATTTCGTGGGAGCCGACGGAGCCTGAGCGTTTGCAAACAACTCGCTTCAAATATTCTACGAAGACGAAGGCATTAAACAGCATACAACGGTGTCATATGCACATCAAACCAACGGAAAAGCAGAGCGTGCCATTAGGAACATCGTCACGATCGGCCGCAGCATGCTTCATCATTCCAAACTAGACAAGTATTTCTGGGCCGAAGCAGCAATGACGGCCATCTACGTCAAGAATCGACTGCCGTCACCTAAAGTCGTACACAAGACCCCACTTGAGATCGTCTACAGCTCGAAACCAAGCGTCAAGCACATGCGAGCATTCGGGTGTCCGACGTACATACTTACGCCAAAGGAGAATCGACTCAAGTGGGATCCAAAGGCTCGCGTTGGCATATTCGTGGGCTACGAAGAAGTGTCGAAGTCGTATCGAGTTTACGACCTCAAGACAGGAAAAGCGGTTATCAGTCGCGATGTCAACTTCGACGAGTCCACCTTTGGACTTCCGCCGCGATCACTGATGAAGATGCCGATGACCTGGACTTCGAATTGCTTGAACTCAATGATGAAGTGCCGCGTCAGGTGGAGTACAAGCAAATAGGCAAGCGCAAAACCCTTCTCAGTGATGAAGACGAGCTGCTCAACGACTGCGTGCATTGAGTCAACGGCCTGGACTAGAAGAGTCAAGCACGCCGGACAGCAACTCGTCATAGTAAGAAGAACCCGACGAAACGAAGGATTCTGAGGAATCAACTCCGCCTGTGTTTTGGCGTGCGAGTGCAAATGCCGTTGAAGCAGCAGTGGACTTATCAGAGCCCTCAACATTTGAGGCGGCAGTGAGCGGCCCTGACCAAGTGCACTGGAGAAAAGCAATTCATGCAGAGCTCGAGTCAATGCGACTTCGCGGTGTGTTTCGTGCAGCCAAGCTGCCCAACGGACAACGCGCCATTGGCACAAAATGGGTGTTCAAGATCAAGCGTAAAGCGGATGGATCTATCGAGAAGTACAAGGCACGACTTGTGGCCAAGGGTTTCCGCAAAAAGTGTGGCATCGACTACACGGAGACATTTTCGCCCGTGGTCAAGTATGTGACGCTGCGAATGGTGATCGCAATTTCCAAGCACTTTGGATGGCCCATCGACCAGCTTGATGTGGTGACGGCTTTCCTGAATGGCTTCATGAAGGAAAAAGTGTTCTGTGTGATTCCTGAAGGCGTTGAACTTGATAGTACGTTCGACTGCCTGGAATTGGTCAGAAGTCAATCTACGGCCTCAAGCAAGCGTTTTAAGTGTGGAATGAGACGTTCGACGAGTTTGTGTGCTCCATTGAATTTCAAGTATCGGACTTCGACCCATGTACCTACATCAAGACTTCGGACGGCCATTGTGTGTTTGTACTGGTCTACGTGGACGACGTCTTGGTGACTAGAAGCTCGCTCGAGCTAATTGCACAAACCAAGAACGACCTGAAGACACGTTCCGAGATGACAAACATCGGCAAGCATGCATTTGTTCTTGTACACGTTTCGAGATGACAGACAGCAAGTATGCATTTGTTCTTTTGGACGGTGAAGATGGCAGTGTGACAATGTGTCAGCACCGTTATGTCGATGATATCCTCAAGCGCTTTGAAATGGAGGAGTGCAAGGCTGTGGCGAGTCCTGTGGGTGTCAGCTCTCGACTGATGTCAAGCAACGATGCAAGAAAGATCGATGTTCCGTTCCGTGAAGTTGTTGGTGCTTTGATGCATCTGACTACTGCAACACGACCGGACATCGCCTATGCTGTGAGCTTTGTGTCGCGCTTCATGGAGAATCCCCAAGAAGAACACTGGGTTGCGGTCAAGCGCATCTTTCGCTACCTACAAGGCAACAAGATGCATTGAATTTGCTACAAGCCAAGTTCAAGGATCAACTCTCGTGGCTATTCAGACGCAGACTTGGCCAATGACCTTACTGGTCGCAAGTCAACGTCTGGCTACGATTTCATGCTAATGGGTGCTCCAGTGAGTTGGGGCGGCAAGAAGCAGCCAAGTGTGTCACTGTCTACAATTGAAGCGGAGTACATTGCGCTAAGTCTGGCAATTCAAGAAGGCAAGTGGATCCACCGCTTACTATGCGAGATCATGGCGGCTGCTAACGAGGACGGACCCGAGCTCATGATCCGCAAAGCCAAACAGTCCTGCATCAAAATGACCAAGAATCCGGTCAACCGCGGCCGCGCCAAACACATTGATATCAAGTACCATTGCATTCGCGATGAAGTCAAGCGCAGAAAAGTGAAGCTTGAATACTGCGAGACGACGGTGATGTTGGCAGACATTATGACCAAGGGACTTCATGGACCGCACCACAAGGACTTAACGGCGGTGCTGGGCATCTATAAACGTTCGGATTGAGGGGGCGTGTTGACGGTTATCGGTTTTCTACCAATATTGGTAACCGTTACCTGTTCAATCCGAACCGCCTCCTCAGCTTAGTATTTACGACGTAGTTCTTACGGTAATTACCATACTTAAATAGACGCGTAGGAAGATGAGACGCTTCACATGATTTAGATGGACTCCACATAAAAACCATGCAGTAAGCAGCAAGCCCCGATAATCAATCACTTTCGAATCTTCCAACTCGTGAGCAAGTGTCTTCTGCTCTACTCTCTTCAGTCCTTCCGCTCCCTTCTCTCTGCTCTTTGCCAAGCAACAACGTCGCACACGACATAAAATAGGTACATTGGAATGGACGTTTACTTTACATCAAACGCGCCCGCGACTTGTCTAGTTTGTTCACGGGTAAGAAGTAAGGTACGTGTGGAAACATTAAAAATTTCTGACGGGGTTTAAAATGTCATAGACGTCCTTAAACTAAGTATTCTAGCAAGCGAGCCTGGAGTGAAGGCAATTAGACCTAAAACCAGCCTGTTGGACCGATTAATAAGAGGACGTGATACGCAAACAGTATCAATTTGACTTATAATCGTGATGGATGAGTTTTTAACTCGCACGCATTTTTAAATTCAATTTTGTGTCAAAGACGATCACTATACTGTCACGGGATTGGAGCAACGTTTATGTCATACTTCGATATCCCGGGTTTTCATAATTATCGCATACATATGGTTGATGGAAAACGGTCATGAAGGCTCACGACGCTGAAAAAGTGGAGACAAGTAGTACAAGTAAAATAAAATTGGGCTTCTGCTTCTTGCTTCGCAAGGCTGCGGATCCCTGAACTGCTCTCATCTTTTATAGTGATCAGGCGGTTAAAAAATGGGAAGAAGTAGTCGATGGGCTAGCAACAGTAGCACTTAGCGCGACGGCCAGAGAATCTAATGCAGTCCGGCCAGAAAGATCTACGCATGAAAATAAAGGTATAAAAATGCATCATTACAAAAATTCACCAATGGAAGCAAGTGTTGCATGGTAGAGAGCAAAGCGAAGGGAACGGAGAGACTGAAGAGAGTAGAGCAGAAGACACTTGCTCACGAGTTGGAAGATTCGAAAGTGATTGATTATCGGGGCTTGCTGCTTACTGCATGGTTTTTATGTGGAGTCCATCTAAATCATGTGAAGCGTCTCATCTTCCTACGCGTCTATTTAAGTATGGTAATTACCGTAAGAACTACGTCGTAAATACTAAGCTGAGGAGGCGGTTCGGATTGAACAGGTAACGGTTACCAATATTGGTAGAAAACCGATAACCGTCAACACGCCCCCTCAATCCGAACGTTTATAGATGCCCAGCACCGCCGTTAAGTCCTTGTGGTGCGGTCCATGAAGTCCCTTGGTCATAATGTCTGCCAACATCACCGTCGTCTCGCAGTATTCAAGCTTCACTTTTCTGCGCTTGACTTCATCGCGAATGCAATGGTACTTGATATCAATGTGTTTGGCGCGGCCGCGGTTGACCGGATTCTTGGTCATTTTGATGCAGGACTGTTTGGCTTTGCGGATCATGAGCTCGGGTCCGTCCTCGTTAGCAGCCGCCATGATCTCGCATAGTAAGCGGTGGATCCACTTGCCTTCTTGAATTGCCAGACTTAGCGCAATGTACTCCGCTTCAATTGTAGACAGTGACACACTTGGCTGCTTCTTGCCGCCCCAACTCACTGGAGCACCCATTAGCATGAAATCGTAGCCAGACGTTGACTTGCGACCAGTAAGGTCATTGGCCAAGTCTGCGTCTGAATAGCCACGAGAGTTGATCCTTGAACTTGGCTTGTAGCAAATTCAATGCATCTTGTTGCCTTGTAGGTAGCGAAAGATGCGCTTGACCGCAACCCAGTGTTCTTCTTGGGGATTCTCCATGAAGCGCGACACAAAGCTCACAGCATAGGCGATGTCCGGTCGTGTTGCAGTAGTCAGATGCATCAAAGCACCAACAACTTCACGGAACGGAACATCGATCTTTCTTGCATCGTTGCTTGACATCAGTCGAGAGCTGACACCCACAGGACTCGCCACAGCCTTGCACTCCTCCATTTCAAAGCGCTTGAGGATATCATCGACATAACGGTGCTGACACATTGTCACACTGCCATCTTCACCGTCCAAAAGAACAAATGCATACTTGCTGTCTGTCATCTCGAAACGTGTACAAGAACAAATGCATGCTTGCCGATGTTTGTCATCTCGGAACGTGTCTTCAGGTCGTTCTTGGTTTGTGCAATTAGCTCGAGCGAGCTTCTAGTCACCAAGACGTCGTCCACGTAGACCAGTACAAACACACAATGGCCGTCCGAAGTCTTGATGTAGGTACATGGGTCGAAGTCCGATACTTGAAATTCAATGGAGCACACAAACTCGTCGAACGTCTCATTCCACACTTAAAACGCTTGCTTGAGGCCGTAGATTGACTTCTGACCAATTCCAGGCAGTTGAACGTACTATCAAGTTCAACGCCTTCAGGAATCACACAGAACACTTTTTCCTTCATGAAGCCATTCAGGAAAGCCGTCACCACATCAAGCTGGTCGATGGGCCATCCAAAGTGCTTGGAAATTGCGATCACCATTCGCAGCGTCACATACTTGACCACGGGCGAAAATGTCTCCGTGTAGTCGATGCCACACTTTTTGCGGAAACCCTTGGCCACAAGTCGTGCCTTGTACTTCTCGATTTACCCATCCGCCTTGCGCTTGATCTTGAACACCCAGTTTGTGCCAACGGCGCGTTGTCCGTTGGGCAGCTTGGCTGCGCAAAACACACCGCGAAGTTGCATTGACTCGAGCTCTGCATGAATAGCTTTTCGCCAGTGCACCTGGTCAGGGCCGCTCACTGCCGCCTCGAATGTTGAGGGCTCCGATAAGTCCGCTGCTGATTCAACGGCATTCACGCTCGCACACCAAAACACAGGCGGAGTTGATTCCTCAGAATCCTTCGTTTCGTCGGGTTCTTCTTACTATGACGAGTTGCTGTCCGGCGTGCTTGACTCTTCTAGTCCAGGCCGTTGACTCAATGCACGCAGTCGTTGAGCAGCTCGTCTTCATCACTGAGAAGGGTTTTGCGCTTGCCTATTTGCTTGTACTCCACCTGACGCGGCACTTCATCATTGAGGTCAAGCAATTCGAAGTCCAGGTCATCGGCATCTTCATCAGTGATCGCGGCGGAAGTCCAAAGGTGGACTCGTCGAAGTTGACATCGCGACTGATAACCACCTTCCCCGCCTTGATGTCGTAAACTCGATACGACTTCGACACTTCTTCGTAGCCCACGAATATGCCAACGCGAGCCTTTGGATCCCACTTGAGTCGATTCTCCTTTGGCGTAAGTATGTACGTCGGACACCCGAATGCTCGCATGTGCTTGACGCTTGGTTTCGAGCTGTAGACGATCTCAAGTGGGGTCTTGTGTACGACTTTAGGTGACGGCAGTCGATTCTTGACGTAGATGGCCGTCATTGCTGCTTCGGCCCAGAAATACTTGTCTAGTTTGGAATGATGAAGCATGCTGCGGCCGATCGTGATGATGTTCCTAATGGCACGCTCTGCTTTTCCGTTGGTTTGATGTGCATATGACACCGTTGTATGCTGTTTAATGCCTTCGTCTTCGTAGAATATTTGAAGCGAGTTGTTTGCAAACGCTCAGGCTCCGTCGGCTCCCACGAAATTGACCTTCGTACTGAACTGCGTCTGTACCATGGTGATGTACTTCCAGATGTAGTCTTCACTCTCGGACTTCACTCGTAAACAAAATTTCTTCATACATCCACTGGCCTCGTCTACGATCAGTAGCAAGTATCTGCTACCACCGAGCGAATCGCTTTCCATGGGCTCACAGATGTCCAGATGAAGCAGCTCGAACGTTAGTAGTTACGCTTGTCGCGATTACTGGGGAATGGTTTTTGGACCATATTCCCTTGTTGACATCCTCGACATGCAGTTGCTCCATTCGACTTGAGAGGGACTCGCACATCCTTCATCATGTTGGTAGTGATCATCTTGCGAAGTACGTCGACTGGAGCGTGACCCATTCACGCATGTAGACCAGCACAACTGTTTCTTCTTGTTGCCACATTTGCTGATCGCTGAGTCGTACGAATCCAGTAAAGTCCATCCACTAGATCCGCTGTCGCCATCACTTGCTGTGAGTTTTTGCGAGTCACACACATCTTGGACCTGTCAAACACGACTTGGAACATACCATGCCTGTTAGTCTTTGGCACCGAAAGCAGGTTCTTGCTCATACTTGGAACATGTAACGCGTTCTTGATATCGATCCCAAGATCTTCACCGTTTGGAAGAACCACCTTTTCCATGATGGTTCCCACACCCTTGATGGCCATTTTGCTGCCATCAGCCTCCAATAGTTCGCCCTCGTTGCGCTCTGCCAAACTTGCAAACTTGATCTTGTCGTGGCAATGTGGTGCGTTGCACCACTGTAGATGGCCCACATTCCAGACACGTCCTTGCTCGTCGAAACTCCACATTCGAACGAGACTGCAAACGTCACTCCATCGTAGCCATTGCCTTCATCGTAATGTCCACACTGGATACTGCCTCGCATACACGACCATTGCCGCCGCATCGGCCTCCTCGACCTTCGTTTTTCTGCTTTGTCCAGCAACGATCCACAGTGTGTCCCAATTTGCCACAATACGTGCATTGGTAGGGCTCACGGTCGGTGCTGAATGCCGTGCTTGCATCTTCAGCCTTCACCGTCGTCGCTGTTGCTGTCCCTTTTTCTCCCTGGCGCTTGACGTGCTCATTCTTCAGAACTCTCACCACATCCTGGGTACGAAGCTCTGCATTGCTCATCTCCAAGTTCAGAACCACGTTCTCGAAACTCTTCGGGAGACTGAGCAGCAAGCAGATCACAACGTCTTCGTCTTCCATCTTCGCACCGATGCCGCTAAGCTTGGCGGAGATGTTGAGGACCTCGTTGCAGTGATGCATGACGTTCGCGCCTTCAGCCATCTTGATGCTGAAAAGTTGTCACTTGGGGAAGATGCGTCCTGCCTTCTGCGACTCACCGTACAGCGTCTTCAGACGTGTTCACGCAACACAAGCTTCCTCACAGTTGTCAAGCACATGATAGTAATCCGCATTCATGTGCAGCATCGTACCAAAAGCGACGTTGCTCGCCTTGACGTAGTCATCGGACGCTCGCGGGTCGGTGAAAGTCGAGGTCGCTTCACGGTTCACGACGTACCAGTCGGACTTCGTCAAAAAACACACCGCACATGCATCATATCTAAGTCGCATAGTTATCGCCATTAAACTTATCAATGGAGGCGTTGGATGATGCGTTGGTGGTGGACGACATGGCGCTTGGGCTCATAACCTGTTGCATGGCAGAAAGCGGAGCGAAGGGAGCGGAGAGGCTGAAGAGAGTAGAGCAGAAGACACTTGCTCACTAGTTGGAAGATTCGAAATTGATTGATTATCGGGGCTTACTACTTACTACATGATTTATATGTGTCGTATACATAAATCATGTGAAGCGTCTCATCTTCCTACGCGTCTAATCAACTAAGGTAATTACCGTAAGAACTACGTCGTAAATACTAAGCTAAGCAGGCTATTCCGGTTGAACCGGTCACGGTCACCAATACCGGTATAAAAACGATGACCTTTCACAGCAAGGGGGTTAAAATTATTGGTATCAGCACGGAACCGAGGATCAGCGAATTCTTATTCTTTATTGACACCGGGCAAGATGCTACTGAGTCTACGGTAAGTATGGGCTGCGATGCCTTTAACGGTATCGATGGCTCGGGTCACATTCTCCTTGATGTAGCTCTGGTGTGCTTTTCTTTCAAACAGGAGTTTTGGGATGCCTTAGTTTTATTAGTAGATGGGATGACATTTAACTTCTTATATGTGGCTTCAATGTTGTAGTAGACGCAAGAAAACATATGAAATAAACTCTCGCCGACATTTGTTTGGGATAAATTGGACTTCCGACTAAGCGTCCATTTGAAATGAATTGGACCCTTGACTAAGCGTTAGTGACAAGATCTCAAAATAATTGACGGCTAAGGAGGAGGCGCGCCATATTGCAGCTCTGTGCCATCCCACGATGTCATTTCAGACCTCTGAGAAAAGAATAAACGGTACGAGACCTGTAATGAGAGTCGGATACATAGTAGAAGACGCAAAAGTAACAGTTAGATGCAAGATTTGAGCCTTTGCTGAAGTAAATTTAAACGATGGATATATAGCTGAGGTATATTAATATATTGGGCCGATTTAAGATCAGAACCCAACAATAAAGTAGTCCTAACTCTAGATAATTTACGGTAAGTTGGCGTCTTCAACATTAAAATCACCTTAGCGGACGTAGGCGTCGACGACAATGAAGCCATACACACGGAAATGACAGACAAATTAGACAAAAACCTTCTTTCGCGTGTCTATTACGTCCTGGTAAATTAAATGACGCATTAATGTGAGATGATCCGTAAGAGCTGCACAAGTTAAAGTAGGCGCCATCTGTCGTGAAAAAGAAATTTTGGCAAAATTATAAAAAAATGGTCTGGGTAGTCGACGATCCACCAAGAGAAATCAAAGTAAAAAAAAATAATGCAAGAAGCATACAAACGGCGTATTGAAATACAACATTGCGAGAGCATAGGCTAGTAACATCCTTTGTAAACGAATGTGGCACTCATAGCGAAGAAGGGTTAATCTCTAGCGAACACCGAATGTTACCACTTCTCGGGAGTGCCTCTCGCAGCTAGCTGGTTTTCCGCTGATCGCTTCTTGTTCACCTCGCAACCCGAATTAAAAGGCCATTCCCGTTGCACATTGCACTTATTGCATCTCATCATTGCCATAAAAAACTGGCAGCAACGCCGTGTACAGTGTTGAGACACCGTTCGGCAAGATGTTGAGTGATTTGTTAATTAAGCGGTCACGCTATATTCAGAAACGGTCTGCAGGTCGGCAAGCAAACATTCATCTGAGGCAAGCCGTCATTGCTAAGCTACACATGCCGAGCAGCCGACGATTCAAGAGAGTGGATAGACTTGCGTAATGATTGAAACATTTTTGCATCCTTAAGAGAAGAATCCCCTGAGATTCTATTTATTTTCCGTTGCGGCCAGTTGGTGCTTTGAGTCTAATGAATTATCAATGCCATCGTCTGAACGTCGACATCGTGATGCGCTCCGCAACAACCCTAGAGAGACACACACAACCAGACGAATAATTTGCAGAGTGGTTAAGGAGCGACACGACATCTTCATTTTCTAATGTGCATTAGTCGGTGGGCTTTTGGGAACGTAAAATAAACTGATGCAAATAAGCATCATTCGAGATGGCAAATCGACTCCAGCAGGGTCGCATGAATCTGATTCATCTTTATCCCGCGACCTTAAACCGCCCGTCTAGACAGGAGCGAAGTCAATGGATAACGAAGCATCTGCGGACTCGTTTGCATTCAAGCCCACATATCGAGAATTTGGGTAGCGCTGAGCGGGACCATACCACTATATAAGTCTTAGGGTCTTTTGCCAAATTCAAATTAGACGGATCATTGATAATGTTTAAAGGCTTTAGCGACGCTTCTGTTGCATTGTAGATCGGAGCGAGGAAAGCGGAGCGAACGGAGCGGAGAGACCGAAGAGAGTAGAGCAGAAAACACTTGCCCAATAGTTGGAAGATTCGAAAGTGATTGATTATCGGGACTTACTACTTGTTGAAAAGACAGCGGCTGTGAAGAAGACACCTCGTCAAGCTGCGTCAAGTGTTGAAGCAAGTGGAAGACCAAGCTTCGCTATACCGGTGGGTGCCGGTATGTACCAGTAAGGGCGAAGTCAGGAAATGACGTCATTGGATGACGTCAGTGGGTGACGTCACTGGATGACGTCACTGCGAATAATAGGCTTAGAGGTAGTATTCAAAGTTGCGAACTAAGTACCTATTATAAATATATATTCACTTTGCGTTTTGCACTCGGACCAAGAAGTCTAAAGTTCATCAGGTTATGAGCCCAAGTTCGTCAGACTCTGAAACCGCCAACAATTCAAGCTTAGCTGCCATGGACGCCTCCTCCCTCCGCATCTCCAAGTTTGATGGAACTAACTTCCACGCCTGGAAGTTCAAGATGCAGATGGTGCTGGAGGAACGGGACCTATGGGAGGTCGTCAGCGGTGAGATCAAGGCGGAACAGTGCGAGACTCAATTGGACCAAGCGACGTACAAGAGGAAGTCAAGAAAAGCGATGGCAGTGATCTGTCTAGCCATGGAAGATTCCCAGCTACCGTTGGTCCGGTCGGCAAGTGGTGCATGCGACGCATGGTCAAGGTTGGAAGACCTCTTCGAGAAGAAGAGTCTTGCCAACAAGCTGTTCTTGCGCCGTCGCTTCTTCACGACAATGATGGAAGAAGGCGACGATGTGCTCGAACACATCAGCAAGCTCAAGACGCTGGCGGAACAGCTAGAAGCGGTGGGGGCTCCAGTCTGCGAGGACGATCTGGTGATCACACTCCTCGGCAGCCTGAGTGACTCGTATCAATTCTTGATCACAGCTTTGGAGTCGCGCTCAGACACTCTTAGCTGGGAGCCCGTGACGTCTCGACTGCTTCATGAAGAAATGAAGCGGAAGGAGCAAGGAAGTAAAGGTGATGAAGCTTCGCAAGGTCAAGCGTTCATCACAAGGGACAATCAGCGCAAAGGGCGACCAGTGAAGAAGTCCTGACCGTGCCACAATTGCGGAAAGATTGGTCACTGGATGGCGGAGTGCCCCTCGCGCATCCAAGAAAACACAGAGAGACACCGGCCACAGCGTGCTCAAGACAGCGGCGACCGCTATCGATCACAACGTGCAAACGTCGCTCAAGAAGAAGACTCGGGCGACTACCTCTTTTCGATCGGTGAAACGACATCTGCGAAATCGAGCGACATCTGGCTGGTCGACTCCGGGGCGACGCAGCACATGACGTGCTCCAAGAAGTTCATGCGGAACTACAAGGGGTTTGACGCTGTGGATTTCCATCTCGCGGATGATGGAATCGTCCAAGCAATCGGCAGTGGGGACATTGTCATGTCGATGAAGACACCCCAAGGGATGAAGAAAGGTGTGCTCACAAACGTGTGGCACATCCCAAAGTTATCCAGAAACCTGTTCTCGGTCGGCCGCTTCACCAAGGATGTCGGCCCAGTGACGTTCACGAAGGATGGGTGCTATGGAGAAGCGAAAGGGACCAAGTGGAAAATTGGTGCCCGTGAAGGTAAAGGACTGTTCAAGCTGCAAATGACTCCAGTGGCGCCGGAACAAGCAAATGCAGCCAAGTCGTCGGGATGTCAAGGGGGCACCAAGTCGTACCTCTGGCACCTTCGGCTTGGACACATATGTCACGATGGACTCAATTGCATCGTGACGAAGAACATTGGAATTGGCATCGACATATCTTCGGTGAAGAAGTGGGACGTGTGTGAAGGTTGTGCTCTGGGAAAACAGACTCGAGTGCGCTTCCAATCAAACACTACAGCTCGCACCTCCAAACTCCTCGAAGTGATTCACAGCGACGTATGCGGACCGATGTCGATGGCAACTTTCAGTGGAAAACGGTACTTCGTGACATTCATCGATGACAAGTCAAGATACTGTGTCGTCTATCTGCTCAAGAGCAAATCTGAAGTTGCGGCGAAGTTCATGGAATACGCTGCGATGGCTGAAACGCAAACCGGAAAGCGCGTGAAGTACCTTCAACGCGACAATGGGGGTGAATACAAGTCCAACAAGCTGGCACGATTCTGCGCGGAACGGGGAATACAACAAAGGTTCACAACCCCATATACTCCTCAGCTAAACGTAGTAGCTGAGAGAATGAATCGCACGCTGGTCGAGTGTGCGCGTTGCATGATAGAACACGCTGGACTGGGAAAGAGCTACTGGGGTGAAGCAGTGATGACGGCGATGTTTCTTCGAAACCGCTGTCCAACACGTGCCATTCACCACGACAAGTCTCCATATCAAGTGTGGACGATGAAGAAACCGATTCTGGCCAACCTTAAAGTGCTTGGATGCCACGCGTATGTTCAAGTGCCTCAAGACAAACGCGCGAAGTTCGACTCCAAGTCATCACTCTGTCGTTTCCTGGAATAAGCCGAACACCAGAAGTCATATCGATTTGAGGAAGTGTCAACAGGAGCGATCAAGATCAGTCGCGATGCCACATTCATGGAAGACAAGTTTGATGAAGGTCCGCGCAACTACAACGATGAGTCAAGTGCCGTTGAGTTTGATGATCAAGACGAGGACGAAGAAAAAGAAGAAGGTAAAACTGACGTCGACATGCACTTGAGCGACGATGACAACGAAGACACCAGGTCTTCGAACTGCAACATCAAGATACACACGCGCACTCAATCACTTGAAGTCTAAAGTTCATCACTACAAACTACATGATTTATATGTGGTGTACATATAAATCATGTGAAGCGTCTCATCATCCTACGCGTCTAATCAACTATGGTAATTACCGTAAGAACTACGTCGTAAATACTAGGCTGAACAGGCGGTTCGGATTGGACCGGTCACGGTTACCAACACTGGTAGAAAACCGATGACCGTCAACACGCCCCCTCAATCCGAACTCGCACGAATGCCGAGAGCCGTCGTTATCTCCTTGTGGCGTGGTCCATGAAGTCCCTTCGTCATGATGTCCGCTAACATCACCGCAGTTTCACAATACTTGAGCTTCACTTCACCGCGCTTGACCTCATCACGGATGTGATGGTACTTGATATCAATGTGCTTGGCACGGCCGTGGTTGACCGGGTTCTTCGTCATCTTGATACATGACTGATTGTCTTCATGAATCATGAGTTCCGGTCCTTCTTCATTGGCAGCCATCACGATCTCACAAAGCAGACGATGAATCCACTTGCCCTCTTGAATCGCCAAGCTGAGTGCGATGTATTCAGCTTCAGTCGTGGACAACGAAACACTTGGCTGCTTCTTGCTGCCCCAACTCACTGGCGCACCCAATAGCATGAACGTGTACCCCGATGTTGACTTGCGGTCGGTAAGATCACCAGCCCAATCCGCATCCGAATATCCACGGAAGTCGATCCTTGCACTTGGCTTGTAGCAAATTCCATGCGTCTTGGTGCCTTGTAGGAAGCGAAAGATACGCTTAACTGCAACCCAGTGTTCTTCTTGGGGATTTTCCATGAGCCGCGACACATAGCCCACAGCAAACGCAATGTCCGGACGCGTTGCAGTGGTCAGGTGCATCAACGCACCAACAGCTTCGCGAAAAGGAGCATCGACCTTGGTAGCTGCATCGCTTGAAACGAGTCGAGAGCTCATGTCCACTGGACTTGCGACTGCCTTGCAATCATCCATGCCAAAGCGCTTGAGGATATCATCGACATAACGGTGCTGAGATAGTGTCACACTGCCATCTTCACCGTCCAAAAGCTCAATTCCAAGAACAAATGCACACTTGCCGCTATCAGTCATCTCGAAGCGTGTCTTCAGGTCTTTCTTGGTGTGTGCAATCAACTTGGGTGAGCTTCCTGTCACCAACACGTCATCCACATAGACCAGTATAAACACGCAATGGCCGTCCGATGTTTTGATGTAGAGACATGGGTAGAAGCCTGACACTTGAAATCCAATGGAACACAAACTCGTCCAAAGTCTCGTTCCACACTCGCGAAGCTTGCTTGAGGTCGTAAATTGACTTCACCAATTCCAGGCAGTCGAACGTACTATCAAGTTCAACGCCTTCAGGAATCACGCAGAACACTTGTTCCTTCATGACGCCATACAGGAAAGCTGTCACCACATCAAGCTGGTCGATGGGCCATCCAAAATGCTTGGAAATTGCGATCACCATTCTCAGCGTCACATACTTGACCACAGGCGAAAACGTCTCCGTGTAGTCGATGCCACACTTTTTGCGGAAACCCTTGGCCACAAGTCGTGCCTTGTACTTCTCGATCGACCCATCCGCTTTACGCTTGATCTTGAACACCCATTTTGTGCCAATGGCGCGTTGTCCGTTGGGCAGCTTGGCTGCACGAAACACACCGCGAAGTCGCATTGACTCGAGCTCCGCATGAGTTGCCTTACGCCAGTGCACTTGATCCGGGCCGGTCACTGCTGCTTCAAATGTCGACGGTTCCGACAACTCCACTGCTGCTTCAACAGCATTTGCACTCGCACGCAAAACACAGGCGGAGTCGATTTGTCCGATTCCTTCGTCATCGTCTTCTTCTTGGCGTGACGAGTTGTTTTCCGGCGCGCTTGACTCTTCTAGTCCTGGTCGTTGACGCACTGCACGTGGTCGTGGAGCTGCTGTATCTTCATCATTGAGTCGGTTCTTGCGCTTGCCAGTTTGCTGATACTCCATTTGACGCAGCTCTTCGTCATCAAGATCCAGCAATTCGAAGTCCAGGTCATCGACATCTTCATCAGTGATCGGCAGTTGAAGGCCAAAGGTGGACTCGTCGAAGTTAACATCCCGACTGACAACAACCTGCCCCTCCTCGATGTCAAATACACGATATGCCTTGGACACTTCTTCGTAGCCCACGAATATGCCAGCGCAAGCCTTGGGATCCCAATTGAGTCGCTTCTCCTTCGGAGTCAGTATAAACGTCTGACATCCGAATGTTCGCATGTGCTTGACGCTTGGTTTCAAGTTGTAGACGATCTCAAACGGGGCCTTGTGCACGACTTTAGGTGACGGCAGTCGATTCTTGATGTAGATGGCCGTCATCGCTGCTTCGGCCCAGAAACACTTGTCCAGTTTGGCATGATGAAGCATGCTGCGGCCGATCGTGACAATAGTCCTAATTGCACGCTCTGCTTTTCCGTTTGTTTGATGTGCATACGGCACCGTTGTCTGCTGTTCAATGCCTTCGTCTTCGTAGAACAGCTGAAGCGAGTTGGTTGCAAACTCGCGAGCTCCGTCGTGTCGCACAAACTTGACCTTCTTACAGAATTGCGTCTGTACCATGGTGATATATTTCCAGATGTAGTCTTCACTCTCGGATTTCAATCGTAGACAAAAGCCCTTCATGCATCCACTGGAAATTGTTAGCCCCGCGTCCACGACCATTGCCGCCGCGTCGGGCTCCCCGACCTTCGTTCTTCTGTTTTGTCCAGCAACGATCCACCGTGTGTCCCACCTTGCCACAATACGTGCATTGGTAGGGCTCACGCTCGGCGCTGAATGCCTTGCTTGCATCTTCAGCCTTCACCGTAGTCGCTGTCGTTGACCCTTTTTTCTCCTTGACGCTTGGCATGCTCATTCGTCAGGACTCTCACCACATCTTGAGTGCGAAGCTCGGTGCTGCTCATTTCCATGTTGAGCACCACATTTTCGTAGCTCTTCGGAAGACTGAGTAGCAGACAAATTGCAACGTCTTCGTCTTCCATCTTCGCACCGATGCCGCTAAGCTTGGCGGAGATGTTGAGGACCTCGTTGCAGTGCTGCATGACGTTCGCGCCTTCAGCCATCTTGATGCTGAAAAGTTGTCGCTTGAGGTAGATGCGTCCTGCCTTCTGCGACCCACCGTACAGCGTCTTCAGACTTGTCCACGCAACCCAGGCTTCCTCGCAGTTGTCCAGCACATGATGGTAGTCCGCGTTCATGTGCAGCAGCATCATACCAAACGCGACGTTGCTTGCCTTGACGTAGTCATCGGACGCTCGCGGGTCGGTGAAAGTCGGAGCCACTTCACGGTTGACGACGTGCCAGACGGACTTCGTCAAGAACACACCGCGCATGTACCGGCTCCACGTTGCGTAATTGTCTCCGTTGAACTTTTCAGTGGAGGCGTTGCTGGTGGACGACATGGCGCTTGGGCTCATAACCTGTTGCATTGTAGATCGGAGCGAGGAAAGCGGAGCGAACAGAGCGGAGAGACCGAAGAGAGTAGAGCAGAAAACACTTGCCCAATAGTTGGAAGATTCGAAAGTGATTGATTACGGGGCTTACTACTTACTACATGATTTATATGTGGTGTACATATAAATCATGTGAAGCGTCTCATCATCCTACGCGTCTAATCAACTATGGTAATTACCGTAAGAACTACGTCGTAAATACTAGGCTGAACAGGCGGTTCGGATTGGACCGGTCACGGTTACCAACACTGGTAGAAAACCGATGACCGTCAACAGCTTCCAGTAAGAAAGTCAAAAGGCTGAAAAAATATTTTGACCGTGGTAGAATTAAAAAAAACTTAAAGGCGTTGCAACAAACCCGATATCTCCAGGCTTGTGTTGTCAGCCTAGCGTCGATGCCGGTAATGGTACCAGACTGAGCCAAACAAAGAAAACTTTGGAGGCTTTTGAATACATCAGGATATCAACAGAGGCGGTGTATCGATAAAATTATTCTATATTTCTTAACGTCTAATTCTTTACAAACTGCGACGTAATACGCAGATTTAATAAAGAAATGGCACAAGTCAGAAATTATCCAGCACACAAAGTCGGCCTGGCCAAAAGGATCGGTCATGGTGAAGAACAGCAATGGAGGAAGTGAATTACTATTGGACAAGACAATCGCCCCCTACAGTCTTATCATGACTGCAGAAGTTGTATGGTGGTTGATTTTCATTAGGTAGATAACTCTAGTCAGATCGAGCAGGAGATTAAGTCGGCGAGATAATAGAGTATGCGGTATCAATTGACAAAGCGTAGGTACTGAAGTCCTTATTCAGCGAAAATCGGGTCGGTAAATATGTTGACAAGATTTAAGTTGGCGAGTGGTTGTGTGAAAATTTAAGTGTTTAGAGATAAGGACTAGATCGATGAATATCGGTCGGCGAGCCCACAATGTTTCGCTAGGTACATGTACGAAACTAAGTGCAGGGCAGAGATATTGAAGGCTATCGAAACAAACCAAACTGTGTAGTTCTTATGGGATCGTTTTTACGTTGGTAATTTTGCAGGAATGATTAGACGAGCAGGGTGGTTAGACGCGCCGACCAATTTATCTGTGGACGCATGTAAATCAGGGCGTAGGCAGATAATCTCCGATAATCAATCACTTTCCAATCTTCCATCTACTGCCCAAGTTTCTTCTCTCGTTTTCCGAGTGGACTTTTCAGCATCCTTCCCAGTTTCGGTCACCAATCTTCGCACCTTTCAACAGGTTATGAGCCCAAGCGCGATGTCCTCTGCCCAAGATACCATTACCAATATCCCCATCAACAAGTTCGACGGAGACAACCACGCGACATGGAGCCGCTACATGCGTGGCGTGTTCCTGACTAAGTCGACGTGGTACGTGGTGAGCCGGAAGACGTCGCCGACCTATGCGGACGATCGCTCCATGGACGTCTACGTCGAGGCCAACAATATCGTGTTCGTACTGATGTTGCATCACATGGACGCCGACTACCATCACATCGTCGATGATTATGAGGAAGCGTGGGTCGTGTGGGCGCGTTTGGAGACACTGTACGGTGGGTCGCAGAAGGCTGGGCGAATCTACTTGAAGCGCCAGCTGTTCAGCATGGAGATGGCAGAAGGCGGCAATGTGATGCATCACATTGCCATGAAGTCCTCAGCATCGGCGCGAAGATAAGCAGCATCGGAGCCAAGATGGAGGACGAGGACGTGACGATCTGCTTGTTGTGCAGCCTCCCTAAACGCTACGAGAATGTCGTGTTAAACTTGTAGTTGAGCAGCGCTGCAATCGCGAGACGTCGTGATGTGCTCACAAATGAGCACATCAAGAGACAAGGTGACAAGACGATATCGGTGGAGACTGGAGACGCGAAGAAGGCGTTCAGTGCTGAGCATGAACCTCGCCAGTGTACGTACTGCGGCAAATTGGGGCACACGGCGGAGCGGTACTGACCAAGAACAAGGACGAAAATATAGGTGGAGCTCTACGCGCCGGCAACAATGCTCGTGGACGCGGAGCCAACAACGTTTAGTGGCGATTCCACAACAACAGCAACTACGACGGCAACTACGATCGAGTTGCGTTTGTGGTTTCGCTGGAGGCTGGATTTTCAACGGGCAAGAATATGCCAAGGATGTGGGCGGTCGACAGCGGTGCGACGCATCACGTCTGAAACGACAAGGCCAAGTTCACAAGCCTGAATGAGCGAGAAGAAGGCAAACTATGGGTGGCTGATGGCAGCAAAGGCTGCGATCAAGGGTGTGGGAACCATCATGGAACGGGAGGTTCTGCCCAGGAGTGACGGACGCGACATCGAGATCAAGGACGCACTTTCCGTGCCAAGTATGAGCAAGGATCTGCTTTCGGTACTGCAGATCAACAAGGGTCGCAAGTTCCAAGTCGTGTTCGATGGGTCCAAGATACAAGTAACGCGCAAGAATTCCAAGCAAGTTGTGATGACAGCGGATCCCGTCGACGGAATTTACTGGCTGCGGACTCCTCAACGATCGACTAATGCAGCGACACACAATGGGGCCATCGACTTACGCACGCACATGGGTCATGCATCCCTCGATGCTCTGCGCAAGATGATCGCCACCGGCATGATCAAGGCAGCCAATACACCTCTCTCATCAACTGGGCAAAGTGTGTGTCGCGGTTGCCAGCACGGGAAGATGTTCCAAAAACCATTCCCAACCAACCGTGACAAGTGTCACTATAGTGTGTTTGAATTGCTACAATTCGACATCTGCGGGCCAATGTAACAAGCCTCGATCAGCAGCAGCAGATACTAGCTGCTTGTGGTCGACGATGCCATCGGGTGCATGAAGGTCTTCTGTCTGCGGTCCAAGTCTGAGAGTGAAGACTGCACCAAGAACTATATTCTCAAGATTCAGACGCAGTTCGGCAAGAAGATCAAGTTCGTTCGGCATGATGGAGCGCACGAGTTCGCGACCAACTCGATCAAGACCTTCTACGAAGATCAAGGTATAGAGCAGCAGGTCACGGTGCCGTATGCACACCAGACCAACGGCACTGCAGAACGCGCGATACGGACCATCGTCACGATCGGACGCAGCTTGCTGCATCATGAAAAGCTGGAGAAGTGTTTCTGGACTGAAGCGGCAATGAAGGCGATCTACATCAAGAACCGCCTGCCGTCACCCAAGATCGATCACAAGACTCCGTTCGAAATCGTGTACAAGTCGAAACCAAGTGTCAAGCACATGCGCGTGTTTGGATGTCAAGCGTACATCCTGACACTAAAGGTGAAGCGAATGAAGTGTGACTCGAAGGCTCGTGTGCGGATGTTCATGGGCTACGAAGAAGCGTCAAAGGCGTACCGAGTGTACGACATTGAGGTGGGCCAAGCGGTGATCAGTCGTGACTTCACCTCCGACAAATCAACTTTTGACTTTTCGATGAGACGATCAAGTGACGACGATGAAGATGCGGAGTTGGACCTCAACCTCCTGGCGATCAACAATGACGACGTGCGTCAAACCGTCTACAAGCACACTGGCAAGTGCAAGAGTGAAGCAATCACCGGCATGTCACGATCATCTCACCATCGAACTGGGTTGGAACAAGCAAGTGTGCCGGAACGCGTCTCCAACCGTCACCAGAAACGACGATCAAGTGATCCCGAAACGATGTCTGATGACGAAGAAGATGTAGGCGCCTACGATCAAGATGACGACTTTGATCGTTTGGAGTTGACGAAGGCGATCTACGGTCTCAAGCAAGCTTCGCGGGTATGGAACGAGAATTTCGACGTGTTCGTGTGCTCCATCGGTTTCGAAGTGCCGGCGTTCGACCCATGTCTATACATCAAGGTGGTCGATGGTCAGTGTGTTCCCGTGCTGGTTTACGTGGATGGCGTGTTGGTCACCGGCAGCTCGCTCGAGTTGATTGCGCAACGAAGGCTGAACTCAAGACACGCTTCGAGATGACCAACAGTGGCAAGTGTACTTTTGTACTTGGCTCGAACTGGTAGACGGCTTGGATGGCAGCGTGACGATGTGCCAGCGGCGGTATGCCAACGACGTCCTCAAGCGTTTCGGCATGTATGAGTGCAAGGCCACAGCAAGTTCGGTCGGTTTGAGCACTCGGCTTGTCGCAAGCAGGGAATCGGCCAAGATCAACGTTCCGTTTCGCAAAGCTGTTGGATCTCCAATGCACTTAACGACTGCGACGCGCCCGGATATCGCGTATGCTGTGGGGTACTTCTCACACTTCATGGATAATCCGCAGCAAGACTGTTGGACGGCGGATCATTCGTTATTTTCAAGGGACCAAGTCGCGCGGACTCCGCTTCCAGCCAAGCGACAAGATTGATTTTGTGGATACTCAGATTTGTCTGGACCGGCGACCATGCTGATCGCAAGTCAACTTCGGGTTACACTTTCATACTGATCGACTTCGGGCTTTCATACTGATGGGTGCTCCTGTGAGTTGGGGAAGCAAGGAGCAGTCAAGTGTGTCGCTGTCGGCGAGTTAAGCGGAGTACATTGCGCTAAGTCTGGCAATTCAAGAAGGCAAGTGGATCCACCGCTTACTATGCGAGATCATGGCGGCTGCTAACGAGGACGGACCCGAGCTCATGATCCACAAAAACAACCAGTCCTGCATCAAAATGACCAAGAATCCGGTCAACCACGGCCGCGCCAAGCACATCGACATCAATTGCCATCACATCCGTGATGAGGTCAAGCGCGGTGAAGTGAAGCTCGAGTATTGCGAGACTTCCATGATAATGGCGGACATCATGACCAAGGGACTTGCGGGACCTCGTCACAAGAACTTGACGACAGCTCTCGACATCTGTGCGTGTTCGAATTGAGGGGACGTATTGAAGGTTACCAACACAATCCGAACTGTGTAGTTCTTATGGGATCGTTTTTACGTCGGTAATTTTGCAGGAAAGATTAGACAAGCAGGGTGATTAGACGCGCCGACCGATTTATCTGTGGACGCATGTAAATCAGGGCGTAGGCAGATAATCTCCGATAATCAATCACTTTCCAATCTTCCATCTACTGCCCAAGTGTCTTCTCTCGTTTTCCGAGTGGACTTTTCAGCATCCTTCCCAGTTTCGGTCACCAATCTTCGCACCTTTCAACAGGTTATGAGCCCAAGCGCGATGTCCTCTGCCCAAGATACCATTACCAATATCTCCATCAACAAGTTCGACGGAGACAACCACGCGACATGGAGCCGCTACATGCGTGGCGTGTTCCTGACTAAGTCGACGTGGTACGTGGTGAGCCGGAAGACGTCGCCGACCTATGCGGACGATCGCTCCATGGACGTCTACGTCGAGGCCAACAATATCGTGTTCGTACTGATGTTGCATCACATGGACGCCGACTACCATCACATCGTCGATGATTATGAGGAAGCGTGGGTCGTGTGGGCGCGTTTGAAGACACTGTACGGTGGGTCGCAGAAGGCTGGGCGAATCTACTTGAAGCGCCAGCTTTTCAGCATGGAGATGAAGGAAGGCGGCAATGTGATGCATCACATTGCCATGAAGTCCTCAACATCAGCGCGAAGATAAGCAGCATCGGAGCCAAGATGGAGGACGAGGACGTGGCGACCTGCTTGTTGCGCAGCCTCCCTAAACGCTACGAGAATGTCGTGTTGAACTTGTAGTTGAGCAGCGCTGCGATCGCGAGACGTCGTGATGTGCTCACAAATGATCACATCAAGAGACAAGGTGACGAGACGATATCGGTGGAGACTGGAGACGCGAAGAAGGCGTTCAGTGCTGAGCGTGAACCTCGCCAGTGTACGTACTGCGGCAAATTGGGGCACACGGCGGAGCGGTACTGGACCAAGAACAAGGACGAAAATATAGGTGGAGCTCTACGCGCCGGCAACAATGCTCGTGGACGCGGAGCCAACAACGTTTAGTGGCGATTCCACAACAACAGCAACTACGACGGCAACTACGATCGAGTTGCGTTTGTGGTTTCGCTGGAGGCTGGATTTTCAACGGGCAAGAATATGCCAAGGATGTGGGCGGTCGACAGCGGTGCGACGCATCGCATCTGAAACGGCAAGGCCAAGTTCACAAGCCTGAATGAGCGAGAAGAAGGCAAACTATCGGTGGCTGATGGCAGCAAAGGCTGCGATCAAGGGTGTGGGAACCATCATGGAACGGGAGGTTCTGCCCAGGAGTGACGGACGCGACATCGAGATCAAGGAAGCACTGTTCGTGCCAAGTATGAGCAAGGATCTGCTTTCGGTACTGCAGATCAACAAGGGTCGCAATTTCCAAGTCGTGTTCGATGGCTCCAAGATACAAGTAACGCGCAAGAATTCCAAGCAAGTTGTGATGACAGCGGATCCCGTCGACGGAATTCACTGGCTGCGGACTCCTCAACGATCGACTAATGCAGCGACACACAATGGGGCCATCGACTTGCGCACGCGCATGGGTCATGCATCCCTCGATGCTCTGCGCAAGATGATGGCCACCGGCATGATCAAGGAAGCCAATGCACCTCTCTCATCAACTGGGCAAAGTGTGTGTCGCGGTCTGCCGAGTACGGGACTCCCAGCATCACTCCCAGTTTCGGTCGTCAAGCTTTTTACCGATCAACAGGTTATGAGCCCAAGCACGATGTCCTCTGCTCATGATGCCACCACCAAGATCTCCATCGACAAGTTCGACGGCGACAACTACGCGACGTGGAGCCGCTACATGCGTGGCGTGTTCCTGACCAAGTCGGCGTGGCACGTGGTGAACCGGGAGACCACCCCCACCTTCGCCGATCCTCGCGCCAGTGACGACTACGTCAAGACGAACAACATTGCGTTCGGCTTAATGCTGCTGCACATGAGCGCGGATTATCATCACGTGGTTGATGACTGTGAAGAGGCGTGGGTCGCGTGGGCGCGTTTGAAGACGCTGTACGGCGGGTCGCAGAAGGCTGGACGCATCTACTTGAAGCGCCAACTTTTCAGTATGGAGATGGCAGAAGGCGGCAATGTGTTGCATCATTGCAATGAAGTCCTCAACATCAGCGCGAAGCTGGCTAGCATCGGCGCCAAGATGGAGGACGAGGACGTTGCGATCTGCTTACTGCGCAGTCTGCCCAAGAGTTTCGAGAACGTGGTTCTCAACTTGGAGATGAGCAGCGCAGAGCTTCAATCGCGGGACGTCGTGAAAGTGCTCACGAACGAGCATGTCAAGCGGCAAGGTGCGAAGGCTACGGCGGTGAAGACTGAAGACGCGGCCAAGGCGTTCAGTACCGAGCGTGAACCCCACCAATGCACGTACTGCGGAAAATTGGGGCACACGGCGGAGCGGTGCTGGACCAAGCAGAAGGACGAAAATCAAGGTGGAGCTCGACGCGGCGGCAACAATGCTCGTGGACGCGGAGCCAACAACGTTCAGTGGCGAACCAACAACAGCAACGACGACAACTACGATCGAGTTGCGTTCGCGGTTTCGCTGGAGGCTGGACTTTCGACGGGCAAGAATATGCCAGGTATGTGGGCAGTCGACAGCGGTGCGACGCATCACATCTGCAACGACAAGGCCAAGTTTGCAAGCCTGAATGAGCGAGAGGAAGGCGAACTATCAGTGGCTGATGGCAGCAAGGCTGCGATCAAGGGTGTGGGAACCATCATGGAACGGGTGGTTCTGCCCAATGGTGACGAACGCGACATCGAGATCAAGGACGCACTGTTCGTACCAAGTATGAGCAAGAATCTGCTTTCGGTGCCACAGATCAACAAGGGTGGCAGGTTCCAAGTCGTGTTCGATGGATCCAAGATGCAAGTGAAGCGCAAGAATTCCACACAAGTCGTGGCAACAGCGGATCTCGTCGATGGACTTTACTGGCTGCGGACTCCTCAACGATCGGCAAATGCAGCAACACGCAATGGGACCATCGACTTGCATGCGCGCATGGGTCATGCACCCCTCGAAGTTCTGCGCAAAATGGTGGCCACTGGCATGATCAAGGACGCCAAGGCACCTCTCAACTCGACTGGTCCAAGTATGTGTCGCGGTTGCCAGCAAGGAAAGATGGTCCAAAAACCATTCCCAACCAACCGTGACAAACGCCAATATGGTGTGTTCGAGTTGCTGCACTTCGACATCTGCGGGCCAATGGAACAAGTCTCGATCGGCGGCAGCAGATACTTACTGCTTGTGGTTGACGAAGCTAGCGGTTGCATGAAGGGCTTCTGTCTGCGGTCCAAGTCTGAGAGTGAAGACTGTATCAAGAACCACATCATCAAGATTCAAACTCAGTTCGGCACGAAGATCAAGTTTGTTCGGCACGATGGAGCGCATGAGTTTGCGACCAACTCCATCAAGACCTTCTACGAAGATCATGGTATTGAACAACAGATCACGGTGCCGTATGCACACCAGACCAACGGCACCGCAGAACGCGCGATAAGGACCATCGTCACGATCGGACGCAGCTTGTTGCATCATGCAAAACTGGAGAAGTGTTTCTGGGCTGAAGCGGCAATGACGGCGATCTACATCAAGAACCGCCTGCCTTCACCCAAGATCGACCACAAGACTCCGTTCGAGATCGTGTACAAGTCGAAACCAAGTGTCAAGCACATGCGCGTGTTTGGATGTCGGGCGTTTATCCTGACACCAAGGGAGAAGCGATTGAAGTGGGACCCGAAGGCTCGTGAAGGGATGTTCATGGGCTACGAAGAAGCGTCAAAAGCTTATCGAGTGTACGACATTGAGGCGGACCAAGTGGTGATCAGTCGTGACATCACCTTCGACGAATCGACTTTTGATTTTTCGATGGACCGACCAAGTGACGATGATGAAGATGCGGAGTTGGACCTCGACCTCCTGGCGATCAACGAGGACGACGTGCTTCAAACCGTCTACAAGCAGACTGGCAAGCGCAAGAGTGAAGCAAGACCCGGCATGTCACGTCCAGCTCGCCCTCGAACTGGGTTGGAACAAGCAAGTGCACCGGCACACGTCTCCAACCGTCACCAGAAACGACGATCAAGTGCTCCAGAAACGATGTCTGATGACGAAGAAGATGCAAGCGTGTACGATCAAGATGACGACTCGACGCCTCCAACATTTTGGCGTGCAAGTGCAAACGCAGTGGAAGCAACGGACCTAGCAGAATCTGTGACTTTTCAAGATGCGATCAATGGTCCTGATCAAGCTCACTGGCAAAATGCTGTGAAGGCGGAACTCAAGTCGATGCATCTTCGTGGAGTTTTCCGTGCGGCAAAACTGCCAAGAGGCCAAGGCGCGATCGGCACCAAGTGGGTGTTCAAGATCAAGCGCAAAGCGGATGGATCGGTCGAGAAATACAAGGCGCATCTCGTTGCCAAGGGCTTCAAGCAGAAGTACGGCATCGACTACACAGAGACGTTCTCGCCCGTGGTCAAGTACGTGACACTGCGTATGGTGATCGCGATCACCAAGTATTTCGACTGGCCACTGGACCAACTCGATGTGGTGACAGCCTTTCTCTACGGAGCGATGAAGGAGAAGGTGTACTGCGTGATACCAGAAGGCGTCGAGATGGATGGCGACTTCGACTGTCTCGAGTTGGTGAAGGCGATCTACGGTCTCAAGCAAGCTTCACGTGTGTGGAACGAGACTTTCGACGAGTTCGTATGCTCCATCGGTTTCGAAGCGTCGGCGTTCGACCCATGTCTCTACATCAAGATTGTCGACGGTCACTGTGTGCTCGTGCTGGTCTACGTGGATGACGTGTTGGTCACCGGCAGCTCGCTCGAGTTGATTGCGCAGACGAAGGCCGACCTCAAGACACGTTTCGAGATGACCGACAGTGGCAAGTGTACTTTTGTACTGGGCATCGAACTGGTGGACGAATCGGATGGCAGCGTGACGATGTGCCAGCGACGGTATGTCAACGACATCCTCAAGCACTTCGGCATGGATGAGTGCAAGGCCACAGCAAGTCCGGTCAACTTGAGCACTCGGCTTGTCGCAAGCACCGAAGCGGCCAAGATCGACGTTCCGTTTCGTGAAGCTGTGGGAGCTTTGATGCACTTGACGACTGCGACGCGCCCGGACATTGCGTATGCTGTGGGGTACGTCTCGCGCTTCATGGAGAATCCGCAGCAAGAACACTGGGTTGCAGTTAAGCGCATCTTTCGTTACTTGCAAGGGACCAAGTCGCACAGACTCCGCTTCCAGCCAAGCGACAAGATCGACTTTCGTGGCTACTCGGACGCGGACTGGGCCGGCGACCACGCTGATCGCAAGTCGACTTCGGGTTACACTTTCATGCTGATGGGTGCTCCTGTGAGTTGGGGAAGCAAGAAGCAGTCAAGTGTGTCGCTGTCGACGAGTGAAGCGGAATACATCGCACTGAGTCTGGCCATCCAGGAAGGCAAGTGGGTGCATCGCCTGCTATGCGAGATTTTGGCGGCCGCAAACGAACCAGGACCGGACCTCGTCATCCGTGAAGACAACCAGTCGTGCATCAAGATGACGAAGAATCCGGTGAATCATGGCCGCGCCAAGCACATCGACATCAAGTACCATCACATCCGTGATGAGGTCAAGCGCGGTGAAGTGAAGCTCGAGTATTGCGAGACTTCCGTGATGATGGCGGACATCATGACCAAGGGACTTTCGGGACCTCGTCACAAGGACTTGACGACGGCTCTCGGCATTCGTGCGAGTTCGGATTGAAGGGGCGTGTTGACGGTCATCGGTTTCTACCAGTATTGGTAACCGTGACCGGTCCAATCCGAACCGCCTGTTCAGCTTGGTATTTACGACGTAGTTCTTACGGTAATTACCATAGTTGATTAGACGCGTAGGATGATGAGACGCTTCACATGATTTATATGTGCACCACATATAAATCATGTAGTAAGTAGTAAGCCCCGATAATCAATCACTTTCCAATCTTCCATCTACCCCCCCCCAAGTGTCTTCTCCGGTCTTCCGAGTGGACTCCCAGCATCACTCCCAGTTTCGGGTGTCAAGCTTTTTACCGATCAACAGTATGAGGAGATGAAATAGTGTTAATTGCCGATTTAGACCGGATCGACCTCCAACATCTCGATATTGGATGACAGATCGGTCATGTTCCACACTGATCATGAATATATGGCTGATGAAGATACTGGATCATGTGGAATATACTTGATAGAGGTCACTAAGTGATGTCAAGAAGTTTCATGCCGAAAGAGCCAGTGGAAGCTGTCCGAATTGACGTCGCAAAGTGAATTTGGACACATTCGGCATTTTGGGTCATATATCGGGTACTTGGGTGCCAAGAATGGGTATTTGGTACCATATAGGAGATTTTGGTCCATTTGGTGCTCTAGGTACGATATCGGGGATATTGGCGCTATCATTGGAGTACAGGGCACGAAATTTCGACACGTGGCAAGGGGGCGATCCAGATTCAAGGCGATATCGGTTTGAAGAGTGACCTATAGTTAAGAATAGGCTTAAGTGTAGGTTGGATAGTAATTTGGTTGGTTAATAAACTGACTTGAACTCTACTTCTTCTGCTCACGACGCACGTTATCCTCCCCTCTTCTCCAGGCAAGATTGATTTGGCTTCCCCGGCGGGTTAAGGCACGCGTGTTACAGGGACACAGAAGACCGATCTTGGATTGTTGGCCAAGATCGAGAAGAGCGATCCCGGGATATCTGGCCCGGATCGATCAAGTACTCACACTCAACTCAACTGCTAGGGTAGCAGCACACAACGGAAAAGGAAAAAGATTTTGGACACAGGATCGCGAGACGGCTCAAGTGGTCAGAAGATCTGGACAAGGCGTTCAAGACAAGACCGAGCAGGATCGAAGCGATCCCCTGGACAGATCGGCACGTTTCATTTTGGCGAAACAAGACACCGATCTACCCAAATTGCGCACTTCCGGCAAGATCGGCCGATCCCAAGGCAAGATCGACGCAGGACTTTTATTTGCTGAGTGAAGATTTCCGCACAGCAAAGACCCCGATCTCGAAGACAAATCAAGATCGGTGCGATCCAAGATCGGGATCGCAGAACCCCCGTTCGTGGTGTGAAGATTTCCGCACCGGAAGCGAACCCTCAACCCAACCTCTCAGCGAGATCGACATCTCCCAAGGCCGTTACGAAGAGCTCAAGCCAGCCCAACCGACGGGTACACAAGGTGAGCACAAGGTCATACAATAAGGCACGGAGTGGAGTACCCCCTCAGTGAGTCGGCAAGTCTGGGCAAGTGGAAGATCGACACTCATACAAGCAATTTTGTGAGATCGACTTCACCACAATGGTGCGCGTGCCCGGATCTTCTGAGGCCTCTGGATTTCTCCGTGAGTCCACTGGCAAAGATGTCAAGATTAAGCAAGAACCTGGGATTGAAGTGTCAGCGACAAAGGGATCGACGCAGACACCCAGAAGCACAAGATCCTCAGATCATCAGAGTTTTGGGAGGGGCTCTGATGAAATGAAAATGAAAGAGGAAGATCGAGAGATCGATCTGGAAGATAAACCTCAATTCCCTCCTAGGGTCCCTTCGGGGGCCACCGCAGATCGCTCTTTGCAGAGCGATCTGCTGGATGAAAACCCAATCGGCGAAAGCCAAACCCTATATCTTAGTCGATAGATCGCCCGACCTCAAGCCGAAGAGCACAATCGCGAGATCGACCACATCAGAACGATCCGCGACGAGATCGATGGGATCAGATGTCAAAGATCGCCAGATCGGCCGAACCGTGCTATCAAAGATCGGAGCCAAAGAGGAATACGATGAAACACCAGATAAGATCGCGATGCCAAAGACGGAATATAACCCATTAAAGATCGCGTCCAGGGAGAAGGAGACTGTTGTTACTTGAGCGCGAGGCGAAGAGAAAACGAAGCGGAGAGACCGGAGAGAACGAAGCAGAGAACACTTGCTCACTTGAGGGAGGATTCGAAAGTGATTGATTTATAGGTCTTAACTTCTGCCTACCCTAGACTGCATCCAATCACATGGTGCATCTAATCAACCTGATTTACACGCGTCCAATCATCCTACGCGTCTAATCATCTCTGAGGTAATTACCGATGTAAAAACTATCTCGTAAGAACTACGCGCTAGGTTCGGATTGTACCGGTAACCCTCAATACGCCCCCTCAATCCGAACACGCACGGATGCCAAGCGCCGCCGTCAAGTCCTTGTGACGAGGTCCGTGAAGTCCCTTCGTCATGATGTCCGCCAACATCAACGTCGTCTCGCAGTATTCAAGCTTCACTTCGCCGCGCTTGACTTCATCACGGATGTGATGGTACTTGATGTCGATGTGTTTAGCGCGGCCGTGGTTGACCGGATTCTTCGTCATCTTGATGCACGACTGGTTGTCTTCACGGATGACGAGCTCGGGTCCTTCTTCGTTTGCAGCCGCCATAATCTCGCACAGCAAGCGATTGATCCACTTGCCTTCTTGGATCGCCAGGCTGAGCGCGATGTACTCCGCTTCGCTTGTAGACAGTGACACACTTGGCTGTTTCTTGCTGCCCCAACTCACCGGAGCACCCAATAGCATGAAGACGTAGCCGGACGTCGATTTGCGATCAGCAAGGTCACCGGCCCAGTCTGCATCTGAATAGCCACGAAAATCGATCTTCGCACTTGGCTTGTAGCAGATTCCATGCATCTTGGTGCCTTGTAGGTAGCGGAAGATGCGCTTGACTGCAACCCAGTGTTCTTCTTGGGGCTTCTCCATGAACCGTGACACAAAGCTTACAGCATAGGCGATGTCCGGTCGCGTTGCAGTCGTCAGATGCATCAAAGCACCCACTGCTTCACGGAATGGGACATCCACCTTGCTTGCAGAGTTGCTCGGAACCAGTCGAGAGCTGACGTCTACCGGACTTGCCACAGCCTTGCACTCATCCATTCCAAAGCGCTTGAGGACATCGTCGACATAACGGCGCTGACACATAGTCACGCTACCATCTTCACCGTCCAATAACTCGATCCCAAGAACAAAGGCACACTTGCCGCTGTCCGTCATCTCGAAGCGTGTCTTGAGGTCGTTCTTGGTGCGCGCAATCATCTCGAGCGAACTTCCAGTCACCAAGACATCGTCCACGTAGACCAGCACAAAAACACAATGGCCTTCCAAAGTCATGATGTAGAGACATGGATCGAATCCCGACGCTTGAAAACCAATCGAGCGTATGAACTCGTCGAAGGTCTCGTTCCAAACACGCGAGGCTTGCTTGAGACCGTAGATCGCCTTGATCAGCTCGAGACAGTCAAAATCACCTTCCATCTTGACGCCTTCCGGAACAGCGCAGAACACCTTCTCCTTCATCACTCCATACAGGAACGCAGTCACCACATCGAGCTGGTCGAGGGGCCATCCAAAGTGCTTGGTAATGGCGATGACCATTCGCAGCGTCACATACTTGACCACGGGCGAGAACGTCTCCGTGTAGTCGATGCCATACTTTTGGCGAAAACCCTTGGCCACAAGTCGTGCCTTGTATTTCTCGATCGACCCATCCGCCTTGCGCTTGATCTTGAAGACCCACTTTGTGCCAATGGCGCTTTGTCCGTTGGGTAACTTGGCCGCACGGAAGACACCGCGAAGCTTCATCGAATCGAGCTCCGCATCAATTGCCTTGCGCCAGTGTACTTGGTCCGGGCCAGACACTGCTTCTTCAAATGTCGACGGCTCCCGAAAAATCGACCGCTGCTTCGACGGCGTTTGCACTCGCATGCCAAAACGCGGAGGAAGTCGGTGTGTCATGTTGTTCCTCCGACTTCCTTTCTTCATCTTCGTTGGCTCGACGTGAAGAGATGTCATCCGGCGCACTTGACTCTTCCAATCCGGGTCGTTGGCGCACTGCTCGGGGCATGCTTGCGTCGTCATTGTCGTGACTGGGTTGGGCCTTGCGCTTTCCTGTTTGTTTGAAGTGTCTCGGACGCGGTTCTTCATCATCAAGATCGATCGATTCGAAGTCCAGGCCATCAACATCGTCATCGGAAATCAGCATCGACATTCCAAAGGCCGACTCATCGAAGTTGACATCGCGACTTATCATCACCTGCCCCGCTTCGATGTCATAAACTCGATACGCCTTGGACACTTCTTCGTAGCCCAAAAACAATCCAGCCCGGGCCTTGGGATCCCACTTGAGTCGTTTCTCCTTCGGGGTCAAGATGTATGCTTGGCACCCAAAAACGCGCATGTGCTTGACACTTGGCTTAGAATTGTAGACAATCTCGAACGGTGTCTTGTGTGGAATCTTGGGTGACGGCAAACGGTTCTTCACATAGACGGTCGTCATTGCCGCTTCAGCCCAGAAGCACTTGTCCAACTTGGCATGATGGAGCATGCTACGACCGATGGTGACGATAGTTCGAATCGCGCGTTCAGCAGTTCCATTGGCTTGATGTGCGTATGGCACCGTGGTTTGTTGCTCGATGCCTTCGACTTCGTAGAAATCTTGAAGCGAGTTCGTCGCAAACTCGCGGGCTCCATCGTGTCGCACAAATTTGACCTTCTTGTTGAACTGCGTCTGTATCATCGTGATGTACTTCTTGATGCACTCTTCGCTCTCTGACTTGGAATGCAGACAAAAACCCTTCATGCATCCGCTGGCTTCATCCACGATCAGCAGCAGATACTTGCTGCCACCCAGAGATTTTTCTTCCATGGGTCCGCAGATGTCGAAGTGGAGCATCTCGAAGGTGTTGTAGGTGCGCTTGTCACGGTTGCTCGGGAACGGTTTTTGGGCCATCTTCCCTTCTTGGCATCCTCGACACACACTTGATCCATTCGGCTTGGAAGGGATGTGAGCGTCCTTGATCATGTGGCTTGTCACCATCCTGCGAAGTACGTCGACTGGAGCATGGCCCATTCGCGCATGTAGATCAACAGCGTTGCTGAGTGATGTCGCATTGGCCGATCGCTGCGTCGTGCGAAGCCAGTAGAGTCCGTCTACAAGATCCGCAGCTGCCACCACTTGGTTGGAATCCTTGCGAGCGACGTACATCGTATCCCCGTCAAACACCACTTGGAAGTTGCCGTGCTTGTTAATCTGCGGCACCGAGAGCAGATTTTTGCTCATGCTGGGCACATAGAGCGCGTTCTTGATCTCGATCTCGCGCTCTTCCCCGTTTGGCAGAATCACCTTTTCCACGATGGTCCCCACACCTTTGATGGCCGCCTTGTTGCCATCAGCCACCAGGATCTCGCCATCATTGCCTTCGACCAAGCTTGCAAACTTGAACTTGTCGTGGCAGATGTGATGTGTTGCCCCGCTGTCAATGGCCCACATTCCTGGTCCATTCTTGTTCGTCGAAACTCCGCATTCGAACGAAACTGCAAACGCCACTCGATCGTAGCTGTTGCCTTCATCATAATGTCGCCACTGGACATTGTTTGCCCCGCGTCCACGACCATTGCCGCCGCGTTGGGCTCCTCGACTTTAATCCTTTTGCTTCGTCCAGCAACGCTCTGCCGTGTGCCCCACCTTGCCGCAGTATGTGCATTGGTAGGGCTTGCGCTCGGTACTGAATGCCTTTGTCGCATCTTCAGTCTTCACCGTTGTCGTTGCCGTTGTCATCTTCTCGCCTTGTCGCTTGATGTGCTCGTTAGTCAGCACCTTGACCACATCTTGCGTGCGCAGCTCTGCATTGCTCATCTCCAAGTTCAGAACCACGTTCTCGAAACTCTTCGGGAGACTGAGCAGCAAGCAGATCGCAATGTCTTCGTCTTCCATCTTGGCACCGATGCTGCTGAGCTTGGCGCCGATGTTCAAGACTTCGTTGCAATGGTGCAAGAAGTTGGCACCTTCCGCCATCTTGATGCTGAACAGCTGGCGCTTGAGGTAGATGCGTCCCGCCTTCTGCGACCCACCATAGAGCATCTTCAACCGCGACCACGCTGTCCATGCTTCTTCACAGTTGTCGACCACATGGTGGTAGTCGGCGTCCATGTGGAGCAACATCAACCCGAACGCGATGTTGCTCGCCTTGACGTACTCGTCGGAAGCTCGCGTGTCGGTGAAGGTTGGAGACGTTTCGCGGTTCACGACGTACCAGACTGACTTCGTCAGAAACACGCCGCGCATGTAGCGACACCAGGTTGAGTAGTTGTCCCCATCGAACTTATCGATGGAGACACTGGCCGAGGTGTTGTTGGACGACATGGCGCTTGGGCTCATAACCTGTTGTGACTTGAGCGCAAGGCGAAGAGAAAACGAAGCGGAGAGACCGGAGAGAACGAAGCAGAGAACACTTGCTCACTTGAGGGAGGATTCGAAAGTGATTGATTTATAGGTCTTAACTTCTGCCTACCCTAGACTGCATCCAATCACATGGTGCATCTAATCAACCTGATTTACACGCGTCCAATCATCCTACGCGTCTAATCATCTCTGAGGTAATTACCGATGTAAAAACTATCTCGTAAGAACTACGCGCTAGGTTCGGATTGTACCGGTAACCCTCAATACGCCCCCTCAATCCGAACACGCACGGATGCCAAGCGCCGCCGTCAAGTCCTTGTGACGCGGTCCGTGAAGTCCCTTCGTCATGATGTCCGCCAACATCAACGTCGTCTCGCAGTATTCAAGCTTCACTTCGCCGCGCTTGACTTCATCACGGATGTGATGGTACTTGATGTCGATGTGTTTAGCGCGGCCGTGGTTGACCGGATTCTTCGTCATCTTGATGCACGACTGGTTGTCTTCACGGATGACGAGCTCGGGTCCTTCTTCGTTTGCAGCCGCCATAATCTCGCACAGCAAGCGATTGATCCACTTGCCTTCTTGGATCGCCAGGCTGAGCGCGATGTACTCCGCTTCGCTTGTAGACAGTGACACACTTGGCTGTTTCTTGCTGCCCCAACTCACCGGAGCACCCAATAGCATGAAGACGTAGCCGGACGTCGATTTGCGATCAGCAAGGTCACCGGCCCAGTCTGCATCTGAATAGCCACAGACAATAGTCGATCTTCGCACTTGGCTTGTAGCAGATTCCATGCATCTTGGTGCCTTGTAGGTAGCGGAAGATGCGCTTGACTGCAACCCAGTGTTCTTCTTGGGGTTTCTCCATGAACCGTGACACAAAGCTTACAGCATAGGCGATGTCCGGTCGCGTTGCAGTCGTCAGATGCATCAAAGCACCCACTGCTTCACGGAATGGGACATCCACCTTGCTTGCAGAGTTGCTCGGAACCAGTCGAGAGCTGACGTCCACCGGACTTGCCACAGCCTTGCACTCATCCATTCCAAAGCGCTTGAGGACATCGTCGACATAACGGCGCTGACACATAGTCACGCTGCCATCTTCACCGTCCAATAACTCGATCCCAAGAACAAAGGCACACTTGCCGCTGTCCGTCATCTCGAAGCGTGTCTTGAGGTCGTTCTTGGTGCGCGCAATCATCTCGAGCGAACTTCCAGTCACCAAGACATCGTCCACGTAGACCAGCACAAAAACACAATGGCCTTCCAAAGTCATGATGTAGAGACATGGATCGAATCCCGACGCTTGAAAACCAATCGAGCGTATGAACTCGTCGAAGGTCTCGTTCCAAACACGCGAGGCTTGCTTGAGACCGTAGATCGCCTTGATCAGCTCGAGACAGTCAAAATCACCTTCCATCTTGACGCCTTCCGGAACAGCGCAGAACACCTTCTCCTTCATCACTCCATACAGGAACGCAGTCACCACATCGAGCTGGTCGAGGGGCCATCCAAAGTGCTTGGTAATGGCGATGACCATTCGCAGCGTCACATACTTGACCACGGGCGAGAACGTCTCCGTGTAGTCGATGCCATACTTTTGGCGAAAACCCTTGGCCACAAGTCGTGCCTTGTATTTCTCGATCGACCCATCCGCCTTGCGCTTGATCTTGAAGACCCACTTTGTGCCAATGGCGCTTTGTCCGTTGGGTAACTTGGCCGCACAAAAGACACCGCGAAGCTTCATCGAATCGAGCTCCGCATCAATTGCCTTGCGCCAGTGTACTTGGTCCGGGCCAGACACTGCTTCTTCAAATGTCGACGGCTCCGAAAAATCGACCGCTGCTTCGACGGCGTTTGCACTCGCATGCCAAAACGCGGAGGAAGTCGGTGTGTCATGTTGTTCCTCCGACTTCCTTTCTTCATCTTCGTTGGCTCGACGTGAAGAGATGTCATCCGGCGCACTTGACTCTTCCAATCCGGGTCGTTGGCGCACTGCTCGGGGCATGCTTGCGTCGTCATTGTCGTGACTGGGTTGGGCCTTGCGCTTTCCTGTTTGTTTGAAGTGTCTCGGACGCGGTTCTTCATCATCAAGATCGATCGATTCGAAGTCCAGGCCATCAACATCGTCATCGGAAATCAGCATCGACATTCCAAAGGCCGACTCATCGAAGTTGACATCGCGATTTATCATCACCTGCCCCGCTTCGATGTCATAAACTCGATACGCCTTGGACACTTCTTCGTAGCCCAAAAACAATCCAGCCCGGGCCTTGGGATCCCACTTGAGTCGTTTCTCCTTCGGGGTCAAGATGTATGCTTGGCACCCAAAAACGCGCATGTGCTTGACACTTGGCTTAGAATTGTAGACAATCTCGAACGGTGTCTTGTGTGGAATCTTGGGTGACGGCAAACGGTTCTTCACATAGACGGCCGTCATTGCCGCTTCAGCCCAGAAGCACTTGTCCAACTTGGCATGATGGAGCATGCTACGACCGATGGTGACGATAGTTCGAATCGCGCGTTCAGCAGTTCCATTGGCTTGATGTGCGTATGGCACCGTGGTTTGTTGCTCGATGCCTTCGACTTCGTAGAAATCTTGAAGCGAGTTTGTCGCAAACTCGCGGGCTCCATCGTGTCGCACAAATTTGACTTTCTTGTTGAACTGCGTCTGTATCATCGTGATGTACTTCTTGATGCACTCTTCGCTCTCTGACTTGGAATGCAGACAAAAACCCTTCATGCATCCGCTGGCTTCATCCACGATCAGCAGCAGATACTTGCTGCCACCCAGAGATTTTTCTTCCATGGGTCCGCAGATGTCGAAGTGGAGCATCTCGAAGGTGTTGTAGGTGCGCTTGTCACGGTTGCTCGGGAATGGTTTTTGGACCATCTTCCCTTCTTGGCATCCTCGACACACACTTGATCCATTCGGCTTGGAAGGGATGTGAGCGTCCTTGATCATGTGGCTTGTCACCATCCTGCGAAGTACGTCGACTGGAGCATGGTCCATTCGCGCATGTAGATCAACAGCGTTGCTGAGTGATGTCGCATTGGCCGATCGCTGCGTCGTGCGAAGCCAGTAGAGTCCGTCTACAAGATCCGCAGCTGCCACCACTTGGTTGGAATCCTTGCGAGCGACGTACATCGTATCCCCGTCAAACACCACTTGGAAGTTGCCGTGCTTGTTAATCTGCGGCACCGAGAGCAGATTTTTGCTCATGCTGGGCACATAGAGCGCGTTCTTGATCTCGATCTCGCGCTCTTCCCCGTTTGGCAGAATCACCTTTTCCACGATGGTCCCCACACCTTTGATGGCCGCCTTGTTGCCATCAGCCACCAGGATCTCGCCATCATTGCCTTCGACCAAGCTTGCAAACTTGAACTTGTCGTGGCAGATGTGATGTGTTGCCCCGCTGTCAATGGCCCACATTCCTGGTCCATTCTTGTTCGTCGAAACTCCGCATTCGAACGAAACTGCAAACGCCACTCGATCGTAGCTGTTGCCTTCATCATAATGTCGCCAGTGGACATTGTTTGCCCCGCGTCGACGACCATTGCCGCCGCGTTGGGCTCCTCGACTTTCATCCTTTTGCTTCGTCCAGCAACGCTCTGCCGTGTGCCCCACCTTGCCGCAGTATGTGCATTGGTAGGGCTTGCGCTCGGTACTGAATGCCTTTGTCGCATCTTCAGTCTTCACCGTTGTCGTTGCCGTTGTCATCTTCTCGCCTTGTCGCTTGATGTGCTCGTTAGTCAGCACCTTGACCACATCTTGCGTGCGCAGCTCTGCATTGCTCATCTCCAAGTTCAGAACCACGTTCTCGAAACTCTTCGGGAGACTGAGCAGCAAGCAGATCGCAATGTCTTCGTCTTCCATCTTGGCACCGATGCTGCTGAGCTTGGCGCCGATGTTCAAGACTTCGTTGCAATGGTGCAAGACGTTGGCACCTTCCGCCATCTTGATGCTGAACAGCTGGCGCTTGAGGTAGATGCGTTCCGCCTTCTGCGACCCACCATAGAGCATCTTCAACCGCGACCACGCTGTCCATGCTTCTTCACAGTTGTCGACCACATGGTGGTATTCGGCGTCCATGTGGAGCAACATCAACCCGAACGCGATGTTGCTCGCCTTGACGTACTCGTCGGAAGCTCGCGTGTCGGTGAAGGTTGGAGACGTTTCGCGGTTCACGACGTACCAGACTGACTTCGTCAGAAACACGCCGCGCATGTAGCGACACCAGGTTGAGTAGTTGTCCCCATCGAACTTATCGATGGAGACACTGGCCGAGGTGTTGTTGGACGACATGGCGCTTGGGCTCATAACCTGTTGTAACTTGAGCGCGAGGCGAAGAGAAAACGAAGCGGAGAGACCGGAGAGAACGAAGCAGAGAACACTTGCTCACTTGAGGGAGGATTCGAAAGTGATTGATTTATAGGTCTTAACTTCTGCCTACCCTAGACTGCATCCAATCACATGGTGCATCTAATCAACCTGATTTACACGCGTCCAATCATCCTACGCGTCTAATCATCTCTGAGGTAATTACCGATGTAAAAACTATCTCGTAAGAACTACGCGCTAGGTTCGGATTGTACCGGTAACCCTCAATACATCCGGCGCACTTGACTCTTCCAATCCGGGTCGTTGGCGCACTGCTCGGGGCATGCTTGCGTCGTCATTGTCGTGACTGGGTTGGGCCTTGCGCTTTCCTGTTTGTTTGAAGTGTCTCGGACGCGGTTCTTCATCATCAAGATCGATCGATTCGAAGTCCAGGCCATCAACATCGTCATCGGAAATCAGCATCGACATTCCAAAGGCCGACTCATCGAAGTTGACATCGCGACTTATCATCACCTGCCCCGCTTCGATGTCATAAACTCGATACGCCTTGGACACTTCTTCGTAGCCCAAAAACAATCCAGCCCGGACCTTGGGATCCCACTTGAGTCGTTTCTCCTTCGGGGTCAAGATGTATGCTTGGCACCCAAAAACGCGCATGTGCTTGACACTTGGCTTAGAATTGTAGACAATCTCGAACGGTGTCTTGTGTGGAATCTTGGGTGACGGCAAACGGTTCTTCACATAGACGGCCGTCATTGCCGCTTCAGCCCAGAAGCACTTGTCCAACTTGGCATGATGGAGCATGCTACGACCGATGGTGACGATAGTTCGAATCGCGCGTTCAGCAGTTCCATTGGCTTGATGTGCGTATGGCACCGTGGTTTGTTGCTCGATGCCTTCGACTTCGTAGAAATCTTGAAGCGAGTTTGTCGCAAACTCGCGGGCTCCATCGTGTCGCACAAATTTGACTTTCTTGTTGAACTGCGTCTGTATCATCGTGATGTACTTCTTGATGCACTCTTCGCTCTCTGACTTGGAATGCAGACAAAAACCCTTCATGCATCCGCTGGCTTCATCCACGATCAGCAGCAGATACTTGCTGCCACCCCAGAGATTTTTCTTCCATGGGTCCGCAGATGTCGAAGTGGAGCATCTCGAAGGTGTTGTAGGTGCGCTTGTCACGGTTGCTCGGGAATGGTTTTTGGACCATCTTCCCTTCTTGGCATCCTCGACACACACTTGATCCATTCGGCTTGGAAGGGATGTGAGCGTCCTTGATCATGTGGCTTGTCACCATCCTGCGAAGTACGTCGACTGGAGCATGGCCCATTCGCGCATGTAGATCAACAGCGTTGCTGAGTGATGTCGCATTGGCCGATCGCTGCGTCGTGCGAAGCCAGTAGAGTCCGTCTACAAGATCCGCAGCTGCCACCACATGATTGGAATCCTTGCGAGCGACGTACATCGTATCCCCGTCAAACACCACTTGGAAGTTGCCGTGCTTGTTAATCTGCGGCACCGAGAGCAGATTTTTGCTCATGCTGGGCACATAGAGCGCGTTCTTGATCTCGATCTCGCGCTCTTCCCCGTTTGGCAGAATCACCTTTTCCACGATGGTCCCCACACCTTTGATGGCCGCCTTGTTGCCATCAGCCACCAGGATCTCGCCATCATTGCCTTCGACCAAGCTTGCAAACTTGAACTTGTCGTGGCAGATGTGATGTGTTGCCCCGCTGTCAATGGCCCACATTCCTGGTCCATTCTTGTTCGTCGAAACTCCGCATTCGAACGAAACTGCAAACGCCACTCGATCGTAGCTGTTGCCTTCATCATAATGTCGCCAGTGGACATTGTTTGCCCCGCGTCCACGACCATTGCCGCCGCGTTGGGCTCCTCGACTTTCATCCTTTTGCTTCGTCCAGCAACGCTCTGCCGTGTGCCCCCACCTTGCCGCAGTATGTGCATTGGTAGGGCTTGCGCTCGGTACTGAATGCCTTTGTCGCATCTTCAGTCTTCACCGTTGTCGTTGCCGTTGTCATCTTCTCGCCTTGTCGCTTGATGTGCTCGTTAGTCAGCACCTTGACCACATCTTGCGTGCGCAGCTCTGCATTGCTCATCTCCAAGTTCAGAACCACGTTCTCGAAACTCTTCGGGAGACTGAGCAGCAAGCAGATCGCAATGTCTTCGTCTTCCATCTTGGCACCGATGCTGCTGAGCTTGGCGCCGATGTTCAAGACTTCGTTGCAATGGTGCAAGACGTTGGCACCTTCCGCCATCTTGATGCTGAACAGCTGGCGCTTGAGGTAGATGCGTCCCGCCTTCTGCGACCCACCATAGAGCATCTTCAACCGCGACCACGCTGTCCATGCTTCTTCACAGTTGTCGACCACATGGTGGTATTCGGCGTCCATGTGGAGCAACATCAACCCGAACGCGATGTTGCTCGCCTTGACGTACTCGTCGGAAGCTCGCGTGTCGGTGAAGGTTGGAGACGTTTCGCGGTTCACGACGTACCAGACTGACTTCGTCAGAAACACGCCGCGCATGTAGCGACACCAGGTTGAGTAGTTGTCCCCATCGAACTTATCGATGGAGACACTGGTCGAGGTGTTGTTGGACGACATGGCGCTTGGGCTCATAACCTGTTGTAACTTGAGCGCGAGGCGAAGAGAAAACGAAGCGGAGAGACCCGGAGAGAACGAAGCAGAGAACACTTGCTCACTTGAGGGAGGATTCGAAAGTGATTGATTTATAGGTCTTAACTTCTGCCTACCCTAGACTGCATCCAATCACATGGTGCATCTAATCAACCTGATTTACACGCGTCCAATCATCCTACGCGTCTAATCATCTCTGAGGTAATTACCGATGTAAAAACTATCTCGTAAGAACTACGCGCTAGGTTCGGATTGTACCGGTAACCCTCAATACATCCGGCGCACTTGACTCTTCCAATCCGGGTCGTTGGCGCACTGCTCGGGGCATGCTTGCGTCGTCATTGTCGTGACTGGGTTGGGCCTTGCGCTTTCCTGTTTGTTTGAAGTGTCTCGGACGCGGTTCTTCATCATCAAGATCGATCGATTCGAAGTCCAGGCCATCAACATCGTCATCGGAAATCAGCATCGACATTCCAAAGGCCGACTCATCGAAGTTGACATCGCGACTTATCATCACCTGCCCCGCTTCGATGTCATAAACTCGATACGCCTTGGACACTTCTTCGTAGCCCAAAAACAATCCAGCCCGGGCCTTGGCATCCCACTTGAGTCGTTTCTCCTTCGGGGTCAAGATGTATGCTTGGCACCCAAAAACGCGCATGTGCTTGACACTTGGCTTAGAATTGTAGACAATCTCGAACGGTGTCTTGTGTGGAATCTTGGGTGACGGCAAACGGTTCTTCACATAGACGGCCGTCATTGCCGCTTCAGCCCAGAAGCACTTGTCCAACTTGGCATGATGGAGCATGCTACGACCGATGGTGACGATAGTTCGAATCGCGCGTTCAGCAGTTCCATTGGCTTGATGTGCGTATGGCACCGTGGTTTGTTGCTCGATGCCTTCGACTTCGTAGAAATCTTGAAGCGAGTTCGTCGCAAACTCGCGGGCTCCATCGTGTCGCACAAATTTGACTTTCTTGTTGAACTGCGTCTGTATCATCGTGATGTACTTCTTGATGCACTCTTCGCTCTCTGACTTGGAATGCAGACAAAAACCCTTCATGCATCCGCTGGCTTCATCCACGATCAGCAGCAGATACTTGCTGCCACCCAGAGATTTTTCTTCCATGGGTCCGCAGATGTCGAAGTGGAGCATCTCGAAGGTGTTGTAGGTGCGCTTGTCACGGTTGCTCGGGAATGGTTTTTGGACCATCTTCCCTTCTTGGCATCCTCGACACACACTTGATCCATTCGGCTTGGAAGGGATGTGAGCGTCCTTGATCATGTGGCTTGTCACCATCCTGCGAAGTACGTCGACTGGAGCATGGCCCATTCGCGCATGTAGATCAACAGCGTTGCTGAGTGATGTCGCATTGGCCGATCGCTGCGTCGTGCGAAGCCAGTAGAGTCCGTCTACAAGATCCGCAGCTGCCACCACTTGATTGGAATCCTTGCGAGCGACGTACATCGTATCCCCGTCAAACACCACTTGGAAGTTGCCGTGCTTGTTAATCTGCGGCACCAGAGAGCAGATTTTTGCTCATGCTGGGCACATAGAGCGCGTTCTTGATCTCGATCTCGCGCTCTTCCCCGTTTGGCAGAATCACCTTTTCCACGATGGTCCCCACACCTTTGATGGCCGCCTTGTTGCCATCAGCCACCAGGATCTCGCCATCATTGCCTTCGACCAAGCTTGCAAACTTGAACTTGTCGTGGCAGATGTGATGTGTTGCCCCGCTGTCAATGGCCCACATTCCTGGTCCATTCTTGTTCGTCGAAACTCCGCATTCGAACGAAACTGCAAACGCCACTCGATCGTAGCTGTTGCCTTCATCATAATGTCGCCACTGGACATTGTTTGCCCCGCGTCCACGACCATTGCCGCCGCGTTGGGCTCCTCGACTTTCATCCTTTTGCTTCGTCCAGCAACGCTCTGCCGTGTGCCCCACCTTGCCGCAGTATGTGCATTGGTAGGGCTTGCGCTCGGTACTGAATGCCTTTGTCGCATCTTCAGTCTTCACCGTTGTCGTTGCCGTTGTCATCTTCTCGCCTTGTCGCTTGATGTGCTCGTTAGTCAGCACCTTGACCACATCTTGCGTGCGCAGCTCTGCATTGCTCATCTCCAAGTTCAGAACCACGTTCTCGAAACTCTTCGGGAGACTGAGCAGCAAGCAGATCGCAATGTCTTCGTCTTCCATCTTGGCACCGATGCTGCTGAGCTTGGCGCCGATGTTCAAGACTTCGTTGCAATGGTGCAAGACGTTGGCACCTTCCGCCATCTTGATGCTGAACAGCTGGCGCTTGAGGTAGATGCGTTCCGCCTTCTGCGACCCACCATAGAGCATCTTCAACCGCGACCACGCTGTCCATGCTTCTTCACAGTTGTCGACCACATGGTGGTATTCGGCGTCCATGTGGAGCAACATCAACCCGAACGCGATGTTGCTCGCCTTGACGTACTCGTCGGAAGCTCGCGTGTCGGTGAAGGTTGGAGACGTTTCGCGGTTCACGACGTACCAGACTGACTTCGTCAGAAACACGCCGCGCATGTAGCGACACCAGGTTGAGTAGTTGTCCCCATCGAACTTATCGATGGAGACACTGGTCGAGGTGTTGTTGGACGACATGGCGCTTGGGCTCATAACCTGTTGTAACTTGAGCGCGAGGCGAAGAGAAAACGAAGCGGAGAGACCGGAGAGAACGAAGCAGAGAACACTTGCTCACTTGAGGGGAGGATTCGAAAGTGATTGATTTATAGGTCTTAACTTCTGCCTACCCTAGACTGCATCCAATCACATGGTGCATCTAATCAACCTGATTTACACGCGTCCAATCATCCTACGCGTCTAATCATCTCTGAGGTAATTACCGATGTAAAAACTATCTCGTAAGAACTACGCGCTAGGTTCGGATTGTACCGGTAACCCTCAATACATCCGGCGCACTTGACTCTTCCAATCCGGGTCGTTGGCGCACTGCTCGGGGCATGCTTGCGTCGTCATTGTCGTGACTGGGTTGGGCCTTGCGCTTTCCTGTTTGTTTGAAGTGTCTCGGACGCGGTTCTTCATCATCAAGATCGATCGATTCGAAGTCCAGGCCATCAACATCGTCATCGGAAATCAGCATCGACATTCCAAAGGCCGACTCATCGAAGTTGACATCGCGACTTATCATCACCTGCCCCGCTTCGATGTCATAAACTCGATACGCCTTGGACACTTCTTCGTAGCCCAAAAACAATCCAGCCCGGGCCTTGGCATCCCACTTGAGTCGTTTCTCCTTCGGGGTCAAGATGTATGCTTGGCACCCAAAAAACGCGCATGTGCTTGACACTTGGCTTAGAATTGTAGACAATCTCGAACGGTGTCTTGTGTGGAATCTTGGGTGACGGCAAACGGTTCTTCACATAGACGGCCGTCATTGCCGCTTCAGCCCAGAAGCACTTGTCCAACTTGGCATGATGGAGCATGCTACGACCGATGGTGACGATAGTTCGAATCGCGCGTTCAGCAGTTCCATTGGCTTGATGTGCGTATGGCACCGTGGTTTGTTGCTCGATGCCTTCGACTTCGTAGAAATCTTGAAGCGAGTTTGTCGCAAACTCGCGGGCTCCATCGTGTCGCACAAATTTGACTTTCTTGTTGAACTGCGTCTGTATCATCGTGATGTACTTCTTGATGCACTCTTCGCTCTCTGACTTGGAATGCAGACAAAAACCCTTCATGCATCCGCTGGCTTCATCCACGATCAGCAGCAGATACTTGCTGCCACCCAGAGATTTTTCTTCCATGGGTCCGCAGATGTCGAAGTGGAGCATCTCGAAGGTGTTGTAGGTGCGCTTGTCACGGTTGCTCGGGAATGGTTTTTGGACCATCTTCCCTTCTTGGCATCCTCGACACACACTTGATCCATTCGGCTTGGAAGGGATGTGAGCGTCCTTGATCATGTGGCTTGTCACCATCCTGCGAAGTACGTCGACTGGAGCATGGCCCATTCGCGCATGTAGATCAACAGCGTTGCTGAGTGATGTCGCATTGGCCGATCGCTGCGTCGTGCGAAGCCAGTAGAGTCCGTCTACAAGATCCGCAGCTGCCACCACATGATTGGAATCCTTGCGAGCGACGTACATCGTATCCCCGTCAAACACCACTTGGAAGTTGCCGTGCTTGTTAATCTGCGGCACCGAGAGCAGATTTTTGCTCATGCTGGGCACATAGAGCGCGTTCTTGATCTCGATCTCGCGCTCTTCCCCGTTTGGCAGAATCACCTTTTCCACGATGGTCCCCACACCTTTGATGGCCGCCTTGTTGCCATCAGCCACCAGGATCTCGCCATCATTGCCTTCGACCAAGCTTGCAAACTTGAACTTGTCGTGGCAGATGTGATGTGTTGCCCCGCTGTCAATGGCCCACATTCCTGGTCCATTCTTGTTCGTCGAAACTCCGCATTCGAACGAAACTGCAAACGCCACTCGATCGTAGCTGTTGCCTTCATCATAATGTCGCCACTGGACATTGTTTGCCCCGCGTCCACGACCATTGCCGCCGCGTTGGGCTCCTCGACTTTCATCCTTTTGCTTCGTCCAGCAACGCTCTGCCGTGTGCCCCACCTTGCCGCAGTATGTGCATTGGTAGGGCTTGCGCTCGGTACTGAATGCCTTTGTCGCATCTTCAGTCTTCACCGTTGTCGTTGCCGTTGTCATCTTCTCGCCTTGTCGCTTGATGTGCTCGTTAGTCAGCACCTTGACCACATCTTGCGTGCGCAGCTCTGCATTGCTCATCTCCAAGTTCAGAACCACGTTCTCGAAACTCTTCGGGAGACTGAGCAGCAAGCAGATCGCAATGTCTTCGTCTTCCATCTTGGCACCGATGCTGCTGAGCTTGGCGCCGATGTTCAAGACTTCGTTGCAATGGTGCAAGACGTTGGCACCTTCCGCCATCTTGATGCTGAACAGCTGGCGCTTGAGGTAGATGCGTCCCGCCTTCTGCGACCCACCATAGAGCATCTTCAACCGCGACCACGCTGTCCATGCTTCTTCACAGTTGTCGACCACATGGTGGTATTCGGCGTCCATGTGGAGCAACATCAACCCGAACGCGATGTTGCTCGCCTTGACGTACTCGTCGGAAGCTCGCGTGTCGGTGAAGGTTGGAGACGTTTCGCGGTTCACGACGTACCAGACTGACTTCGTCAGAAACACGCCGCGCATGTAGCGACACCAGGTTGAGTAGTTGTCCCCATCGAACTTATCGATGGAGACACTGGTCGAGGTGTTGTTGGACGACATGGCGCTTGGGCTCATAACCTGTTGTAACTTGAGCGCGAGGCGAAGAGAAAACGAAGCGGAGAGACCGGAGAGAACGAAGCAGAGAACACTTGCTCACTTGAGGGAGGATTCGAAAGTGATTGATTTATAGGTCTTAACTTCTGCCTACCCTAGACTGCATCCAATCACATGGTGCATCTAATCAACCTGATTTACACGCGTCCAATCATCCTACGCGTCTAATCATCTCTGAGGTAATTACCGATGTAAAAACTATCTCGTAAGAACTACGCGCTAGGTTCGGATTGTACCGGTAACCCTCAATACATCCGGCGCACTTGACTCTTCCAATCCGGGTCGTTGGCGCACTGCTCGGGGCATGCTTGCGTCGTCATTGTCGTGACTGGGTTGGGCCTTGCGCTTTCCTGTTTGTTTGAAGTGTCTCGGACGCGGTTCTTCATCATCAAGATCGATCGATTCGAAGTCCAGGCCATCAACATCGTCATCGGAAATCAGCATCGACATTCCAAAGGCCGACTCATCGAAGTTGACATCGCGACTTATCATCACCTGCCCCGCTTCGATGTCATAAACTCGATACGCCTTGGACACTTCTTCGTAGCCCAAAAACAATCCAGCCCGGGCCTTGGAATCCCACTTGAGTCGTTTCTCCTTCGGGGTCAAGATGTATGCTTGGCACCCAAAAACGCGCATGTGCTTGACACTTGGCTTAGAATTGTAGACAATCTCGAACGGTGTCTTGTGTGGAATCTTGGGTGACGGCAAACGGTTCTTCACATAGACGGCCGTCATTGCCGCTTCAGCCCAGAAGCACTTGTCCAACTTGGCATGATGGAGCATGCTACGACCGATGGTGACGATAGTTCGAATCGCGCGTTCAGCAGTTCCATTGGCTTGATGTGCGTATGGCACCGTGGTTTGTTGCTCGATGCCTTCGACTTCGTAGAAATCTTGAAGCGAGTTCGTCGCAAACTCGCGGGCTCCATCGTGTCGCACAAATTTGACTTTCTTGTTGAACTGCGTCTGTATCATCGTGATGTACTTCTTGATGCACTCTTCGCTCTCTGACTTGGAATGCAGACAAAAACCCTTCATGCATCCGCTGGCTTCATCCACGATCAGCAGCAGATACTTGCTGCCACCCAGAGATTTTTCTTCCATGGGTCCGCAGATGTCGAAGTGGAGCATCTCGAAGGTGTTGTAGGTGCGCTTGTCACGGTTGCTCGGGAATGGTTTTTGGACCATCTTCCCTTCTTGGCATCCTCGACACACACTTGATCCATTCGGCTTGGAAGGGATGTGAGCGTCCTTGATCATGTGGCTTGTCACCATCCTGCGAAGTACGTCGACTGGAGCATGGCCCATTCGCGCATGTAGATCAACAGCGTTGCTGAGTGATGTCGCATTGGCCGATCGCTGCGTCGTGCGAAGCCAGTAGAGTCCGTCTACAAGATCCGCAGCTGCCACCACATGATTGGAATCCTTGCGAGCGACGTACATCGTATCCCCGTCAAACACCACTTGGAAGTTGCCGTGCTTGTTAATCTGCGGCACCGAGAGCAGATTTTTGCTCATGCTGGGCACATAGAGCGCGTTCTTGATCTCGATCTCGCGCTCTTCCCCGTTTGGCAGAATCACCTTTTCCACGATGGTCCCCACACCTTTGATGGCCGCCTTGTTGCCATCAGCCACCAGGATCTCGCCATCATTGCCTTCGACCAAGCTTGCAAACTTGAACTTGTCGTGGCAGATGTGATGTGTTGCCCCGCTGTCAATGGCCCACATTCCTGGTCCATTCTTGTTCGTCGAAACTCCGCATTCGAACGAAACTGCAAACGCCACTCGATCGTAGCTGTTGCCTTCATCATAATGTCGCCACTGGACATTGTTTGCCCCGCGTCCACGACCATTGCCGCCGCGTTGGGCTCCTCGACTTTCATCCTTTTGCTTCGTCCAGCAACGCTCTGCCGTGTGCCCCACCTTGCCGCAGTATGTGCATTGGTAGGGCTTGCGCTCGGTACTGAATGCCTTTGTCGCATCTTCAGTCTTCACCGTTGTCGTTGCCGTTGTCATCTTCTCGCCTTGTCGCTTGATGTGCTCGTTAGTCAGCACCTTGACCACATCTTGCGTGCGCAGCTCTGCATTGCTCATCTCCAAGTTCAGAACCACGTTCTCGAAACTCTTCGGGAGACTGAGCAGCAAGCAGAATCGCAATGTCTTCGTCTTCCATCTTGGCACCGATGCTGCTGAGCTTGGCGCCGATGTTCAAGACTTCGTTGCAATGGTGCAAGACGTTGGCACCTTCCGCCATCTTGATGCTGAACAGCTGGCGCTTGAGGTAGATGCGTCCCGCCTTCTGCGACCCACCATAGAGCATCTTCAACCGCGACCACGCTGTCCATGCTTCTTCACAGTTGTCGACCACATGGTGGTATTCGGCGTCCATGTGGAGCAACATCAACCCGAACGCGATGTTGCTCGCCTTGACGTACTCGTCGGAAGCTCGCGTGTCGGTGAAGGTTGGAGACGTTTCGCGGTTCACGACGTACCAGACTGACTTCGTCAGAAACACGCCGCGCATGTAGCGACACCAGGTTGAGTAGTTGTCCCCATCGAACTTATCGATGGAGACACTGGTCGAGGTGTTGTTGGACGACATGGCGCTTGGGCTCATAACCTGTTGTAACTTGAGCGCGAGGCGAAGAGAAAACGAAGCGGAGAGACCGGAGAGAACGAAGCAGAGAACACTTGCTCACTTGAGGGAGGATTCGAAAGTGATTGATTTATAGGTCTTAACTTCTGCCTACCCTAGACTGCATCCAATCACATGGTGCATCTAATCAACCTGATTTACACGCGTCCAATCATCCTACGCGTCTAATCATCTCTGAGGTAATTACCGATGTAAAAACTATCTCGTAAGAACTACGCGCTAGGTTCGGATTGTACCGGTAACCCTCAATACATCCGGCGCACTTGACTCTTCCAATCCGGGTCGTTGGCGCACTGCTCGGGGCATGCTTGCGTCGTCATTGTCGTGACTGGGTTGGGCCTTGCGCTTTCCTGTTTGTTTGAAGTGTCTCGGACGCGGTTCTTCATCATCAAGATCGATCGATTCGAAGTCCAGGCCATCAACATCGTCATCGGAAATCAGCATCGACATTCCAAAGGCCGACTCATCGAAGTTGACATCGCGACTTATCATCACCTGCCCCGCTTCGATGTCATAAACTCGATACGCCTTGGACACTTCTTCGTAGCCCAAAAACAATCCAGCCCGGGCCTTGGCATCCCACTTGAGTCGTTTCTCCTTCGGGGTCAAGATGTATGCTTGGCACCCAAAAACGCGCATGTGCTTGACACTTGGCTTAGAATTGTAGACAATCTCGAACGGTGTCTTGTGTGGAATCTTGGGTGACGGCAAACGGTTCTTCACATAGACGGCCGTCATTGCCGCTTCAGCCCAGAAGCACTTGTCCAACTTGGCATGATGGAGCATGCTACGACCGATGGTGACGATAGTTCGAATCGCGCGTTCAGCAGTTCCATTGGCTTGATGTGCGTATGGCACCGTGGTTTGTTGCTCGATGCCTTCGACTTCGTAGAAATCTTGAAGCGAGTTCGTCGCAAACTCGCGGGCTCCATCGTGTCGCACAAATTTGACTTTCTTGTTGAACTGCGTCTGTATCATCGTGATGTACTTCTTGATGCACTCTTCGCTCTCTGACTTGGAATGCAGACAAAAACCCTTCATGCATCCGCTGGCTTCATCCACGATCAGCAGCAGATACTTGCTGCCACCCAGAGATTTTTCTTCCATGGGTCCGCAGATGTCGAAGTGGAGCATCTCGAAGGTGTTGTAGGTGCGCTTGTCACGGTTGCTCGGGAATGGTTTTTGGACCATCTTCCCTTCTTGGCATCCTCGACACACACTTGATCCATTCGGCTTGGAAGGGATGTGAGCGTCCTTGATCATGTGGCTTGTCACCATCCTGCGAAGTACGTCGACTGGAGCATGGCCCATTCGCGCATGTAGATCAACAGCGTTGCTGAGTGATGTCGCATTGGCCGATCGCTGCGTCGTGCGAAGCCAGTAGAGTCCGTCTACAAGATCCGCAGCTGCCACCACTTGATTGGAATCCTTGCGAGCGACGTACATCGTATCCCCGTCAAACACCACTTGGAAGTTGCCGTGCTTGTTAATCTGCGGCACCGAGAGCAGATTTTTGCTCATGCTGGGCACATAGAGCGCGTTCTTGATCTCGATCTCGCGCTCTTCCCCGTTTGGCAGAATCACCTTTTCCACGATGGTCCCCACACCTTTGATGGCCGCCTTGTTGCCATCAGCCACCAGGATCTCGCCATCATTGCCTTCGACCAAGCTTGCAAACTTGAACTTGTCGTGGCAGATGTGATGTGTTGCCCCGCTGTCAATGGCCCACATTCCTGGTCCATTCTTGTTCGTCGAAACTCCGCATTCGAACGAAACTGCAAACGCCACTCGATCGTAGCTGTTGCCTTCATCATAATGTCGCCACTGGACATTGTTTGCCCCGCGTCCACGACCATTGCCGCCGCGTTGGGCTCCTCGACTTTCATCCTTTTGCTTCGTCCAGCAACGCTCTGCCGTGTGCCCCACCTTGCCGCAGTATGTGCATTGGTAGGGCTTGCGCTCGGTACTGAATGCCTTTGTCGCATCTTCAGTCTTCACCGTTGTCGTTGCCGTTGTCATCTTCTCGCCTTGTCGCTTGATGTGCTCGTTAGTCAGCACCTTGACCACATCTTGCGTGCGCAGCTCTGCATTGCTCATCTCCAAGTTCAGAACCACGTTCTCGAAACTCTTCGGGAGACTGAGCAGCAAGCAGATCGCAATGTCTTCGTCTTCCATCTTGGCACCGATGCTGCTGAGCTTGGCGCCGATGTTCAAGACTTCGTTGCAATGGTGCAAGACGTTGGCACCTTCCGCCATCTTGATGCTGAACAGCTGGCGCTTGAGGTAGATGCGTCCCGCCTTCTGCGACCCACCATAGAGCATCTTCAACCGCGACCACGCTGTCCATGCTTCTTCACAGTTGTCGACCACATGGTGGTAGTCGGCGTCCATGTGGAGCAACATCAACCCGAACGCGATGTTGCTCGCCTTGACGTACTCGTCGGAAGCTCGCGTGTCGGTGAAGGTTGGAGACGTTTCGCGGTTCACGACGTACCAGACTGACTTCGTCAGAAACACGCCGCGCATGTAGCGACACCAGGTTGAGTAGTTGTCCCCATCGAACTTATCGATGGAGACACTGGCCGAGGTGTTGTTGGACGACATGGCGCTTGGGCTCATAACCTGTTGTAACTTGAGCGCGAGGCGAAGAGAAAACGAAGCGGAGAGACCGGAGAGAACGAAGCAGAGAACACTTGCTCACTTGAGGGAGGATTCGAAAGTGATTGATTTATAGGTCTTAACTTCTGCCTACCCTAGACTGCATCCAATCACATGGTGCATCTAATCAACCTGATTTACACGCGTCCAATCATCCTACGCGTCTAATCATCTCTGAGGTAATTACCGATGTAAAAACTATCTCGTAAGAACTACGCGCTAGGTTCGGATTGTACCGGTAACCCTCAATACATCCGGCGCACTTGACTCTTCCAATCCGGGTCGTTGGCGCACTGCTCGGGGCATGCTTGCGTCGTCATTGTCGTGACTGGGTTGGGCCTTGCGCTTTCCTGTTTGTTTGAAGTGTCTCGGACGCGGTTCTTCATCATCAAGATCGAACGATTCGAAGTCCAGGCCATCAACATCGTCATCGGAAATCAGCATCGACATTCCAAAGGCCGACTCATCGAAGTTGACATCGCGACTTATCATCACCTGCCCCGCTTCGATGTCATAAACTCGATACGCCTTGGACACTTCTTCGTAGCCCAAAAACAATCCAGCCCGGGCCTTGGAATCCCACTTGAGTCGTTTCTCCTTCGGGGTCAAGATGTATGCTTGGCACCCAAAAACGCGCATGTGCTTGACACTTGGCTTAGAATTGTAGACAATCTCGAACGGTGTCTTGTGTGGAATCTTGGGTGACGGCAAACGGTTCTTCACATAGACGGCCGTCATTGCCGCTTCAGCCCAGAAGCACTTGTCCAACTTGGCATGATGGAGCATGCTACGACCGATGGTGACGATAGTTCGAATCGCGCGTTCAGCAGTTCCATTGGCTTGATGTGCGTATGGCACCGTGGTTTGTTGCTCGATGCCTTCGACTTCGTAGAAATCTTGAAGCGAGTTCGTCGCAAACTCGCGGGCTCCATCGTGTCGCACAAATTTGACCTTCTTGTTGAACTGCGCCTGTATCATCGTGATGTACTTCTTGATGCACTCTTCGCTCTCTGACTTGGAATGCAGACAAAAACCCTTCGTGCATCCGCTGGCTTCATCCACGATCAGCAGCAGATACTTGCTGCCACCCAGAGATTTTTCTTCCATGGGTCCGCAGATGTCGAAGTGGAGCATCTCGAAGGTGTTGTAGGTGCGCTTGTCACGGTTGCTCGGGAATGGTTTTTGGACCATCTTCCCTTCTTGGCATCCTCGACACACACTTGATCCATTCGGCTTGGAAGGGATGTGAGCGTCCTTGATCATGTGGCTTGTCACCATCCTGCGAAGTACGTCGACTGGAGCATGGCCCATTCGCGCATGTAGATCAACAGCGTTGCTGAGTGATGTCGCATTGGCCGATCGCTGCGTCGTGCGAAGCCAGTAGAGTCCGTCTACAAGATCCGCAGCTGCCACCACATGATTGGAATCCTTGCGAGCGACGTACATCGTATCCCCGTCAAACACCACTTGGAAGTTGCCGTGCTTGTTAATCTGCGGCACCGAGAGCAGATTTTTGCTCATGCTGGGCACATAGAGCGCGTTCTTGATCTCGATCTCGCGCTCTTCCCCGTTTGGCAGAATCACCTTTTCCACGATGGTCCCCACACCTTTGATGGCCGCCTTGTTGCCATCAGCCACCAGGATCTCGCCATCATTGCCTTCGACCAAGCTTGCAAACTTGAACTTGTCGTGGCAGATGTGA